TCTTATTACGCCAGATATTTTTATAAAATTTTGTGGGATATTTTTAATTCTTAAGGAGCATTTAGAGGAAACAGAGGAAACAGAAAAGTACGCCACTGCTTTTTTAAAAACCAAAATTATATTTAAAATCCTCATTTATTTTGGAGCAAATTCGGCCCGTAGACTTACTTTCGTACGAAGCACCATTTTCGCGTAAAAAAATAAAAACCAAAACAATATATTCCCAAGTTCATTAAAAGACTGCTTTTGATATTTTGTTGAAATTTTTCTTTTGGCAACAAAAATTAATTTTCTACTATTAACAGTGTCATATCCACGTCCGAACTTATCGAAAATATCTGGAGTACCTAATAATGGTACCTAATAATGATAAGAAAAGTAATTTTTTTCTAAAACTGTAACACCCTGTATCTCGTAAACTAAGAGGCTTAGGACATATATTGATATAAACTTTTCTTCTTAAAATCATCCAAATATTCACATCCTGAAGTATCGGTTCTCAATTAATTAACACCCTGTATGGAATTGTTCCAATAGTATAGCTGACGTGTAAAGTTATAGATAAACGATTAAACCTAGTAGGTTTACCCGGGTAAACTGCAAAATACGGGTAGGGTAGGGTCCGGCAGGCTGGCTTTTCTCTTGGCATAATGGGAACCCAAAACACCCAAGAAACCCATGAAACCCTCCCTACCCTACCTTATCCCAAGCTTACTCTACGGTTTCTTGGGTATTTCACAGTTTACCTGGGTAAACCTAGGTTTAGTCGTTTATCTAGCTTTACCCGTAACATAGATGTTATACAAAATTTCAAATCAATAATTTGAAATAATATCTAAAAACCGAAAAATGACAAGAATTAATTGTCACTTCTGGTCATTCATGTACGTGTACAATCAAAAGAGGATGTAATTAAATATAACTCATTCAAATACCAACTTATAATAAAATCATGAGTAGATATATAATTCAGAAATTTCTTTCGAAATTCTAATGCTTATTAGTTAAAACTCAGATTTCCCCTTTATACTATTAGCACAACTTGACAAATGTTTCTAAACATAAACCGCTTGAATAAAAATAAAAAGTAATAAACTGACTGAATTGTAAGTAACAACAACAAACAGAAAAATCGCTAAGAAAATCGTGACTACTAAATCAGAATGTGCAAGAGAGCCGGGCCGGATAGTGAGGAGCGTCCGCAACATGGAACGGACCAGCAATAGCAGCAGCAACAGCAGCAGCCCTTTGCGTCCCCGAACTCATTAAATAATCTTAGAAAAAAACTGACAGAGTCAACTTGGCCGTTCTAAATCACTTCCTCGGACTTGGCGAACTTCAGACGTCCATAACTCAGTCCAACAAGCAAAAATCTCTCGGTTACAAAAACGCATCGGAAACCAACGAAAAAAAGAAGCGAACTAAAAAAAAATAAGCACCAGGCAGCTCCGATACAAACGAGGGATATAAACAATTCTCGGAGTTACCATGGTAACGCGCGGACACCGGCGTCTTTGATTGTGAATTTGCATAGCCTGCTCGGATATGGAAATACTGCAAACGTTCTTGAAGTGACTGTACGGGGCTGTATAGTTGGTTGGAGTGGACAGTTCGAGAGAGCGGTAGCCGTTTCGAGTCAAACCAGGCCGCTTTTCGGCATACTCTAACTTATGTCAACTGATTTTTGTAATTCTTTTATACTACCCGAAGATCTGCATTACTGATGAGCGGAATAGATGCGCTCCATAGAACATCGCTCGACCTACAACACTATGTATAAATGTTTACTCGTTTTATTTACCGATTTATATTTTATAAGTATTTTTATTATACCTAATGATTGATTGACCAATTAACTATTTATCCGTATTTGTTTCGAGAGATAACGAGATTTACTTTTTTCATGAAACATTGACATTTATACTTTGACAGCTTATGTCAAGGTTTGATATCTATGGTTAATAATTGGTAAGTCCAATAACCTATTTATTATTTAATATTTTTTGTCCTTCGAAAAGGATTCAGTTCTATTTTAATTATTCATCAAGTAGCAGAGTCTCAAAACAATAAAAGACAGAATAATGATGAGGATTTATTTTTAACTACAATTTGTTACGAGTAGTGATTTACTAGTATACCATGACTGTCATAAACGACATCTCAAAATGTCAAATTAACTTCATGAACCGAAATGTCAAATTTAGTAAAGTGATAATATTTCGTGTAAAATTAAGAAAAAAAGGTGGATTTAGTAAGTTATATTGATTCAATCATCACAATTAAATTAACCACATCTACTAGGTATACTTATTACCAACTACTTTATGCTTTTTTTAAAAACTACGAGGAGTGATTTGAAAAGTCAGACTTACACCCAAAAAAGTTACCAGAAAATTTGCAAGGCGGTAAATTTAAATACATATCTTTCATTTACATCAAATTAAAAGTAAACTGACAATAACTATGTATATTAAATACTTCATATTTCTAAAACATAACCTAAAAGTGCGGTAAAGAAGAATAATAAATTTCTTTAGCATGAACTTGACTCGTAATTAACCAATAAACGAACGCGAGTGTTGCCAACTTAAATTCAAATCGCTCCTCCTAGTTTTTAAACAGAGTATAGAGAAGACGGAGTATTCAATTAAACCAAACATTGATAAGTAATTTCATCAGTTAGTTGTATTCTCTGGAAGGAAACATATTCTTGTTTAATTTCCTTCTGGTCGATATCCAGCTAATCGAAACGATAGTCACCTTTAGCTATATCCCGTTGGTAACGTTTTAAGTGCGGTTTAAATTTAAACGTGATCTAGATGAGCGAGCCCCGGAGTATTTGTTTAGCCAGCACACGTGCGTGCGTGTGTGGAGGATTTTTGCCCTTTGTAGCGATAGCGCAATTGTGGCCTTTTCCTACTAGAACAGAGAGTTAATGATAGCGAGATTATCTTTCATGGAGGTCCGGGCAGGAGCTACCGTTTCCTTGTAAAGAGTCGATTCGATATCATCCGAAGGCGCAACGGCAGCGGGCCGCTCTCTCCGCCGCTCTTTCTCTCCTCTTTTATATATATATATATATATATATATATATACCACTGTACGTTTTATCATCTGCACCGGGGATCGCATATTTTTCGTCGGCACCGGCGGTTCACAAGAACGAGGCCATATATTGAGCTTGGTGCTTTTAATAAACAAACTGTCTTGGCAGCTTTCTGCCAATATGGCTTTTCCACATTGCCGGTGCGCCTTGTTTACTGGGCTTATTTTCGCGGACGTATTGAATTAAAGCCATGCGTCGCTCGAAAAAAATCCTTTAGGTTGCTACTTTTCGGATCGTAATGAGATCGTATATTTACGCACTATATTTTTATAAGTACTTACTTTATATAATAAATTACCAGGAAGTCTATGAAATTCATTCAACCATCAGCTATAACTGTTCAAACATACAGGCGGATTTTAAACGTAATTTAATTGGATAACTGAAGAATAAGAAAAAAAAACTGAAACTGAATTGTTTCATTACGAGTTATCTCTAGTTAAGTTCCTTTAAAAATTATCCTGGACTAGAAATAGACCGATCTGGAGCTAAAGATGGTAGAACCAGATCGGAGTTTATTGCACATGAGGATCAAGTTGGATTAATCGAGTAAAGCAGCTTATAGCAGTTATAGCCCATAATTACTCTTAGCCTCGTCTATTATAAGTCTCACTTCTCAATTAGCCTCATCTAACACATCTACTATCTGTTAACTACGCCATGAACCGATTAGGTTATACCTATCTCTTAATTAATTACCCTTTAGACCATTTAGAACGCTCCAGAATAATTCACAAATCTATCATAATTGTCACGTCTCAGTTAAAACAATTGCCACCTAACAACTACGTCAACTGATTAGATGTTATACCCCTTAATTACCCCTTAACCTCATCTATCATAATTGTTATACTTGCCAATGTAGCCTAATCTAGCACAGTTACCACCTGTTACTTGTTAACTACTTCAACCTATTAGTTTATACCCCTTCAATAACCCTTAAATAACCCCTAGCCTCAACTATCATAAATGTATCTTGCCAATTAGCCTCATTTAGCACAGTTACCACCTGTTACTTGTTAACTACTTCAACCTATTAGTTTACACCCCTTGAATAACCCTTAAATAACCCCTAGCCTCATCTATCATAAATGTATCTTGTCAATTAGCCTCATTTAGCACAGTTACCACCTGTTACTTGTTAACTACTTCAACCTATTAGTTTATACCCCTTGAATAACCCTTAAATAACCCTTAGCCTCATCTATCATAAATGTATCTTGTCAATTAGCCTCATCTAGCCCAGTTGTCACTTGTCAGCTACGTCAATAACCGATTAGTTCCCTAGACTTAAAAATTCGTTGCCAGTTTGGGGGCTTTATTGGCCTGGATACAATCCTGGATCCGGTTTGTTTCTCTCGATTTATCTCGAAACATATATTAGCCGTGACTGTCACCCGCTACCGTTGTGACATCTGGCGGGCAATAGTCGCTAACTAACTGCATCGCGACGTCACGGCGGTTCGGACCGTCCTCAGGCTGAGACCCGCGTGTCCTTTTTGAATTTATCGAAGCCGACCGGATTATTTACTTTCCGCCGGCGGAGCGGACGGAGCCGATTTGAGGTTTTTGCCGAACCGGAGCTTCAAAAAAAAAACCCGCTATATTCTAATTAATTCTAAACACTTCGTAGCGATCGAACGAAATAAATCAAATAAATTCGTATATCATAGATAAGGTTGTAATTAGGCTAGTTTTGCATATGTAACTGCGAATAGTCCGTATATAGGGTTCGGTTCTCGGAAAACGCGATTCTGCGTGAGTAAGTTTTTTTTTCAGTTTGACGGGGTATTTAAAGCTGCGCACCGATGACAAAAAAAAATACGAAACGTTAAAGATTTGTGGTTGGCGAAGAGAAGCAGCCTGTATATGTATGTAGATAGTGAATGGTCAGATGGCATTTCGAAGTTATGGTCGCGAGCGACCGCATACCGCTTTGGAGTCGAAACTGCCGACATTTTCAGAGGTGGACTCTCTCGAATTTCTATTACATTATTTCCCGATCGCAATTTTATACCGAATGGATTTTATAAGAAAAATTTTGAGCTCAAGTCTTTAGATTTTTAATGACAAATTTTGTACAATTGTTGTTACTTTTATATGCAGAATTGTATTGTTACAGCCACTTTGCAACAGTTCATTTTATTAGTGTACTAACCTGTAACATTCGTGTTAACTGTTAAAACGCTTATTTTATCAATTAGCACCTCTTCTTCAAAAATAAGATCACCTACATTTCTTCATATTTCTGCTAACTAGTATTTACCGAACTTAATACAAGAGCAATACGTAAAAAGATCCAATTTTGAAACATTCTTCTAACATGTTATTATTTTTATTCCTCGTTTCCTTGGTGAGTTAATTTATGCACATTCTTAATTATACCTTAAGTTGTTAGAAACTTTTATTTAAAATTAAAGTTATTTTTCAGTCGCTGTGGGTTCAAACGTCCCATGGATTCCACAAATCGTCGAATAGATGCGCCGGCAAAAGGATTGTGTGTTTGAGCGACGTTTCTTATAGGTTTTGCTTCAACACCACGTTGAATTCGATAGCTTACGGTAGCGTGAAGTATTGTCCGGAGTCTACGGTGTGTTGCGAAAAGGACGAAACGAAAATGTGAGTGTATGTTGTTTTTTTGGTCCAATCGTTTTGTTAAATATTTCGTTTTTTGTAGATGCGTTGAGGCGGATAATTACGAGCGTTATAATAATACTGCAGGTGGATTTTGATGGTTCTTTTTATCAGATTTCGTACTTATCGTTAATTTTTAGATTTTAATTTATTCCATCAAGCTGAAGGTGTTTTGGATAGCGTACAACAGGAAAATGTGAGAAAGTATACAAGTACACAAAAGCCGGTTGGAACGACGGCGAAGAAAAATAAATCAACTACATCGTTTCCACAGAGAATAAAACACACTACTAAAACTCAGAAGCGAAGGAAAAGACCGTTCTTAACCGTTATCAAAGATTATCTACTGAAATCGAGTAACAGGAAACAATCCAATAAGATCAAGAAAAAATCCAATAAAACCAAAACTAGAGGGACGTTGAAACCTTCCAACACTGTTAAAAAAAGTACACTTCAAAAACTAAAAAATTCAAAACCTTCGACCAAATTTACCACTTTAACTCCAACCCAACTCACAACAACCAATAAGACACTAATCACATCGACTTCAACAACACCAATTCCATTTTCCCCGAAAACACAAAGCACAACAACTTCCACTACATCAACACCAGCTCCACCGACTATTTCCTCAACAACAACACCGATTTTATCATCAACAACATCTTCACCTGCAACGATTCCTGCTGTAATCACTAGTAGAGCATCCAGTGCGTTTACAACACCACTTTTTTCGAACCCACCAACGACAAACGATGGGAAATTGGCATTAATTTCGAGTACGTCCAAATCACCCTGTTTCGCTGCTGAAATTCCCACCACGCCTAGTCCGTGCTCGTTCTTCCAGAAGTGGTATCAATCTTCAACAGCGTATTCGTTGAGGACGACTTCCATAGAAACTACGACTGTTTCGACAGGTAATTAGTTAGTTAATTTCATGATTTATTGATTAAGCGGTTGAAAATATGCATTCAATGGATTAAAGAATGAATCGAATTGATTGAAAATAACTCGTCAAGCATTGATTGGATTTGGTAATGTTTTGTTTTAGGAGGTAGGCCTGCAATTTGTAAAATTCCTGCGAAGTATCCAGCGGAAAAGTGCTACGAATACCACGAATGCAAGCCGGTGATGTGGTGGTATAAATGGCTTTTGATGAGGTGCAAAAGTGGTTACGCCTTCGATCCGATTGCATCGACTTGCTTGGAAAATTCCGCTTGTGTTTATTAATAAATTAATAAACATATAAGGTAAGTATTGTCGGTGCATAACATATATGAATGCAACGTAACTACTGTCGTCATAATTGCCAAGTCACTTGTCATACTGTACATTGCCGAGGTTGCAAAATAGTTGCAAGATCAACTGGTTTACAATTTTTATTTCAAAACAGTTGCTCCGTGAGCGGTGGGCCTAAGGGTTAAGCTTGCTTAATGTGATACAGCAAAAATTGTTAAACAAAAAAGGTTCATATTATACTCGACTTTAAAGATCTGGCATTTTTTGTTAGGTTAATATAGCGGAATTCATAGAAATATCGCTTTTTTAGTTTCCATATTCCAGTTACACCCCATAGCGGCCTTTTGAGAAACTTGAAAATATTTTTCCATGCTAGTAATGCTAGTAACTGTAACCTTAGTCATAATTTTTTTACCACAATCCTCTAGGATGCATAGTTTTCCAGATGCAGTACCTCGCAATCTTAAAATTGGCCACCCTGTACACTATTTTTTTTTACTCGCACCGTTAAATATATTTCAGATGAGAAAGGAATTTGATGATTAATTATAGTGAGCCCCTGAATACATCCGCCGTTTAGAAACTTGAAATAGGTACCCCTAATTTTCAATTTGTTCTCGACATTTTATCATTTGACAAATTTAAAAAAAATAAGATATTGTAAACTCTATAAAAGTTTACACTGCCTACTTGTGACGTAGTAAATCATAGGTGACGTGCATTGATATTTGTTTTGCACCGACTGTAGGTAAATGAATTGTGTCTTCCATAATCCCGGTTGCTCGTACGCGGATAAAAGTCGGATCAACTGATCTCGGATCAATAGTTAGTACTGGAATAAGGTGGCCATATTTGATCCCGATTTAATCTTGGCTTAATCCCGGATCAAAGTTGATCCGCGAACAAGCAACCGGGCCATAATGTATCAGCAATTTGTTTTTTTTAAGTAAGAAATTTGTGATAATTTTAGAAGTTTTATCCGAGATTATAGTTTCAGTTATTCCATTGAATTTCGTTGATTTTTTTATCAGTACTCGAATATTTACAAGTTACCGGAAATTAAAACGCAATCAAATATTCTCTATATTTATTAAATATTTAACAAATTTTGTATATACATAATAATGTGTTATAAATAGAATTAACAATCAAATAATGCACTTAATTAACGTAAAACATAAAAAAACAATAAATTAACACAAATTATCATCACAGACGTTAAACGTTTTGGGTTCCGCATTGCTGTTTTCGCCGCCATCCGTTTTGTGTTCGTACAAACAATTCACGTACTCGTGCTTGCCGGGTTCCAAGATCGGTTTCTCATCTTCCACCGGTCTTCCGTAAAGCGGATTTTGAAAACGGACAATACTGAAACAAAATCAACACCTTCATGCATACACCTTTTAATTTAGGACGCGTTTAATTCAGGGTTCCCAATGATAGAGAGAGAGAAAGAGAGAGAGAGGACCGTGAGAGATGGAGCTAGTTAGGGCAAGAAATAGGCGAGACCAAATAAAAATATAAACAGGGTGTTCTTTATCTATGAAACCATGCATTTCTGCCATAGACCTATTAAGTATGGACGCGGCACTATCGGTATATTGAGGTATATTGAGGAAAAATCGGTATATTGAGGAAAAAGGCGATTAATCTGTTAAATTATTTATACGCTTAATATTTAAATATTGTTTTTATCTTGGTATCCACTTGGACAGAAGAATGACCTGGAAGAAACATATTTTTTACAAGAGAAAGCAGTTAGGTCTTAAATTGCGAAATCTGTACTGGCTAATAGGTAGGAGGTTCCAATTAACAATACAAAATAAGAACTGTATTTGCAAATGCGTGGGAATTTAGGCTCAGCTGAAAAATGAATTTTGCTCGGTAAAAAAATAATAAATCCTCAACCCTATTCTACTATAAGCTACCCTCCTCTACCCCAGCTACATTGCATATCTGAAAACGTAACTCATGTGGTCTTTTGCTTTCTTACTATTGGCTAATGCATTGTCCAATCTCTCATTGCCATATGCCCAAACTAGCTGCATCTCTGTCATTCATCGACAACACTACCTCTTTGTCTACACCGCGTCCATAGTTAGTAGACCTATGCTTTCATGTAACCCCATTTCAAAAATTTAAAACGAAAACTACTACCTTAAATCTGCTGTACTGTTTTCTGCGCTTCTCTTCTTCAGCAAGTAATACAACCCAACTATAAACATGACGCAAGCGAGTAACACGAGTACCACCCCGAAGCCCGACAAGAACGCCGAAGAATTGGATTTTCCTTCAATGGTGGTTACTTTGAATTTGTTCGCACCGTTGTCGTCCTGGAAAATTCGTTACAAACTCCCTTTACGTTTACCAAATGGTACAGTAATCGAACTTACTTGTGGTGTACCGCATTCGCCAGTAGTCGAGCCATCGTGGCAAATGCACTTGTAGCCCTCTCGTCCGGCCACGCACATGTAAGGGCAACTGTGACCGTCGCAGACGTTTTCGACCAAGGGCTGAAGGGATCGGTGCGAGATGACGAAATCGTCCCTGGCCAGACTGTGCAAATTGAAACCGTAGTGACAGACGGCCTCTTCGAACAACTGACACCTAATGAGGAACCCGTCCTGGCGCAGATAGTACAAATTGTCTTCGAACAGTTTGAGCCCTTCGATCAGTGATGATACATTGTAGAAGAGCGGTTTGACGTTGCCCCCGTTGTAGCCGATCGTGTTGATTTGATGGGTGTTTTCGTCGTGGAAGTACAACTGGCGTTTGTTCAAATCGTAGGTGATGTGTTCCACGTTACCTGTAGAATGTTACAAATCAAAATAGCTCATGTAAGGTAAGTTATTCGTACCTCAAATTCGTAATTCGTGGATTAATAAAGGTAAAACTATTTTTGGTAAAATTTTTTCACAATTGGATGGGATGGGATTAGTTTAACTCACTAGTAGATGTTCCGTGTTTGATTACACTTGACATAAAATCAAACGTACAAGAAAGTAAAATAAGAGATCCTTTTCAGAATTTTTTAAATTTAATTGTTTTCCCTTCAGTTTGAAAAGATAAAAGTAGGGTTTTAAAAATACTCATTAAAGTGCTCTAAAAGTATTCTGATGCACTGGAAATACCTTATTTCATATTACGTGACATTAAAAAAGTGCAAATTATCCAAAAATATCTGAAAAACGGAAACTACTGGCACCGCTGTCGTTTGTCAAATTTACAAAATTGTTCTGTGATTTGACATTTATGTCAGGCGAAACCATAATTTACAGGAATCTTTCATCATCATTGGCTAAAATACTTTTAGTTAGTTTTTTTAATATAATACAGCCTGTGGATCAATATAAACTAGGAGACATCCTTCTGTAATAAGTATTCTTCATCATACTAAAATTATTCACACATCCGTTCGAGGAAACTCGAGTCTTACTAGAATTACGTTTTGCCATTTAAATAGCATTGCAAATAAATGGCAGTTTTTTATTTCAATTTTCTTAAATATGCAGTGCATTTCTTCATGCACTTTACTCATGTTTCTTTACCCACCCCTTATTTTTTGAACGGATCTACTTAGAAAATTGAAATTTAGGATAACAAAACTAATGCATGATTACTATATTTTGCAGTAAAATTGACAGATGAAAATTTCAAGATGGCGACTGGGCGCCATATTGTGAAATAAATTTAAATGGAAAGGGGGGTCTTGTGATACATCATTTTGAAGCTCCTGACAAATACTCTACAACCCTGGAATATAAAGTGAATATCTGCACCCATTTCAAAATCGCGGAACATTTAATAATTACCTGAATACAAACAAATTAATATCAATTTTTCTAGAAATATTTGTTTTTCTATGGCAAATAGCAATCCCAGCAAACCGATAAGGTTTGACAGGTTATTTTTGGTTAAAAAAATTCCAAAAAATTTACGTACGACAACGAACATTAATTGTTTAGTCAAAAAGCTCATTTAGTTTTTGGTTTTCCTAGTGTTCAAAATATTCTCTTTAGTTTTCGATTTTCCTAGTGTTCAAAGTATTTTCATTTAGTTTTCGGTTGTTTAGTTCTCATTGTAGTTAGGTAGTTAAATGGCCAATTCTCGTCCATTGGAAGATGGAGCACCACCACATTACTCCAGACAAGTAATGAACTATTTGGATGCTATTTTCCCTGGTCATTGGATTGGTCGTCGAGGTCCTACGGAATGGACAGCCTGCTCGCCAGATTTGACACCTTTAGACTTTTTTATGGGGCTATTTGAAGCAAAAAGTGTACGAAACTAAACCGGCTTCAATATTGGATATACGAGAAATAATTACAGATATTTGTAAAAATATCGACGTTACTATGTTCGAAAATGTTCGGCTAGGCTGTTCTTACATCAAGAAGTTCAAGGCAACCATTTTGAGCATGTTTTGAACTGAACTCAGCTTATTTTCTCAAATTATGACGTTAAACGTCGATGTATTCAGGTAATTAATAAATGTCCGCCATTTTATATCAGGTGCAGATATTAACTTTATATTCCAGGGTTGTAGAGTATTTGTCAGGAGCTTCAAAATGATGTATCACAAGACCCCCCTTTCCGTTTAACAAAATATAGTAATCATGCATTAGTTTCATTATCCCAAATTTCAATTTTCTAAGTTGATCCGTTCAAAAAATAAAAGGGGGGGACATTAAAGAAATGCACTGTACAATGTAGTAGGAGAGATTAAAAATAGGAGATATCATTGCTTAGAGTCTCTATATTAAATATAAGAAAGATTCAAATATATTGATGAAGCCAAATTTGAATCTTACTGGAATTACCGAACCTACGTTTTCCCGTTTAAAAATACCCTGAAGTGGCTCCCTTAATACGCACCTATATTTGTTTTGATCAGTTCCACCACGTTGCTACCGTCCAAATCGGTTTTGTACAAAACATAACTGGGCGATGCGAATATCGTCCACGATCTCAGCACATAGAACAAAACCTTGTTGTACGAATCCACGGCCAAGGCGGACACCTGTCGATGAGCATCGACGTCGATCAATTTGACGCACTTCTCCTCGAAATTGCACACTCCAATCGATTTCGCGTCCGATTCGGCGTCGTAATAATAAACATTACGCGTCGCCCAATCCACCGCTATCAGTTTGGGCTCGCCCAAGTTCTCGATGTAGCGAACGGTTTTGGTGGCCGGATCGAGCTTGTAGACGGCGCCGGTGTCGGGTACGCTGTAGAACAGCTCGTTCGAGTCCACCACGGCGGCCAGACTCGAGATCTTCAACATCGACCCGTCCTGGACGACGCTCATCGAATTGTTCTTCGGCGAGATTTCGTAGATTTCGTCACCGTTCACGTTGAAGTAGATCAACATGTCGGAACCGGCCGCTTTGCACGATTTCATGTTCTTCCTGAAACGACCAAAATAAATTATTCGATGAAGAAGAAGGAGGAGAAGGAGGAGAAGGAGGAGAAGGAGGAGAAGGAGGAGAAGGAGGAGAAGGAGGAGAAGGAGGAGAAGGAGAAGAAGGAGAAGAAGGAGAAGAAGGAGGAGAAGGAGGAGAAGGAGAAGAAGGAGAAGAAGGAGAAGAAGGAGGAGAAGGAGGAGAAGGAGGAGAAGGAGGAGAAGGAGGAGAAGGAGGAGAAGGAGGAGAAGGAGGAGAAGGAGGAGAAGGAGGAGAAGGAGGAGAAGGAGGAGAAGGAGGAGATGAAGAAGAACGATCACACTTTGGGTAAAGGCACCACCAAACCAACGCGAAATATTCGCTATCATAGAAATTGTCAAATTACCCAATTTTATACGACTTAAACGATAATGATTTCCAAAACATTAGGAAGAAAGACAAAATATGGAATAATTATGGCAAAGAATTAAATAAAAATGATAAGTAGTATTGAAATTGTTTCTTCAGCTTCCAAGGCAAGTAACAAAAGGGCTTCTTCTTCATCAGAAGATCAGACATTGTCTTCTACGGTAGTCACTGGTTGAAAAGCCATTTATAATCGGGTCGATTCTGTTTGGATCTTGTTATGAATCTTGCTATGATAATCATGTTGTTATATGTTTAAGTTATAACAATATTGCCAATACATTTTCCTATTCTGTTTCGATTAGTTTAGCAATGTTGGTTATATTTTTAACGCTTAACCATATTGTTAATAACATGCTGTCATTAGTGAAAAATAGAGCTGACAACACTGTAATTATCTGAATATAATCGAAAAAAGAAGAATCTTCCCTAAAATTTATTATTTTACGATTACAATTGACGCCATTAAAGGCAGCTTTTCATGTGTTTCTGCGGTAGAAGCGGAGGCGGTTTTTATAAAATGATGAAAGGACGAACAAAGAAAACAAGCAAGGAACAAATGGAAGTAATAGTAATAGTTAAAAAAATAAAAAAATATATTTAACAAACCTAAAAAAATATGAGTAATTATTTTTATCATACATTTCTGAGTTAGCGCAACTATTAGATGAAAAAGTGTTGTATCTCTTCGGAATGTTTCTTCTAGAACTCCTGACAACTGTTGAATTAAATTTAAAGCTGTAGCCTTATTTAAGTTTTATACATTTTTCATTTAGCAAATCAAAGGGGGTTACTTGTATCTCGTATTTGCAAAAAAATGTAAACTCTTAGCTCATATAGTAATGAAAAAAGATCGGATTAGCCATATTGCTATCAAATAGCAAGTACAAAAATGACATTGTTCAAATAGCAATGTTTATAACAAGATATCTTTACTAATGACAGATCATATTGTTTAAATTACACGAACATAATAGGTTATTTCTTAGGACATTGCTAACATAACAATATCTTTATAAAATAGCCAATAACCATATTGCTATTTACAAACAGAATCGACCCGAATAACAATAAAAAACAACAAACTTTCGCACAATTTCCGCTACCGCTGCGAATAATTCGCGTTCGTTTGAAGTTTCGAGTCTCAAAACTAAAAACCCCAAAATCGTAGTATTACCTCAAATAAAAGTTTTGGAAACAATCGCACGTGTAACCGCCATCTTTGTTGCGGCAAAGTTGGCTGCATATCGGCGGATCGGCCTCGCACTCGTTCACGTCCACGCACGTTTTACCGTCGCCCATCAACCGGTAGCCCGGTCTGCACCGGCACTTCGGTCCCTTCGGCGTCTTGACGCAGACGTGGTTGCAGGGATTCTTGGGGCCGTCGCAGGACCCGGAGCAGGAGCCTCCTTCGTCGGAGCCGTCGTAGCAGTCGTGTTTGCCGTTACAGAGCAACGTAGAGTTGATGCAAACGCCGTTGTCGCATCTATGAATAACGAATGCAGGGTGTTACAAAAAGGTTGTGCCAAACTTGAGGAGGTTATAGGGGATATTGTGGTGATCAATTTTTGCAAAGATAGCATTTGTCAAAAATTGAGCCGTTTTGGCTCCAGAGTCATTTTTTTAAGTTGTTATTAGGGCCGCCAAAGCACGGCTCCAAATTCATAATTCATGGGGTAATATAGAACTATTTTTGGTTAAATTTTTCCACAATAGATGAGATGAGATTAGTTTAACTCACTAGTAGATGTTCCGTGTTTGATTACACTTGACATAAAATCAAACGTACAAGAAAGTAAAATAAGATATCCTTTTCAGAATATTTTAAATCAATTCTTTTCCCTGCAATTTGAAATGATAAAAGTAGGGTTTTAAATATAGTCATTAAAGTGCTCTAAAAGTATTTCGGTGTACTGGAAATACCTTATTTCATATTACCTTCCCCTTAAAAAGTGCAAATTATCCAGAAATATCTGAAAACGGAAACTATTGGCACCGCTGTCGCTAGTCAAATTTACAAAATTGTTCTGTGATTTGACATTTATATCAGGCGGCACCATGATTTTTCAGGAATCTATCATCACTATTTGCTAAAACTCTTTATTTTTTTTTAATATAATACAGCCTGTGGATAAATATAAACTAGGAGACATCGTTCTGTAATAAGTATTTTTCATCCTACTAAAATTCACACATCCGTTCGAGGAAACTCGAGTCTTATTAGAATTACGTTTTGCCATTTAAATACCATTGCAAATAAATGACAGTTTTTGATTACAATTTTCTTGAATATATAATGAAGTTGGAGAGATTAAAAATAGGAGATATCATTGCTTGGAGTCTCTATATTAGGTATAAGAAATATTTAAATCAATTGATGAAGCCAAATTTGAATCTTACTGGAATTACTGAACCTATGTTTTCCCATTTAAAAATACCCTGAAGCGACGACCTTAAGTTCTTGAATGTTAAAAACTTCAATATCTTATTATTTTTAATTACAAATACGTAGAATGAATCACAATAAGGATTCAAAATGGCAACCCTCTACTTCATTACATAAATTGATCCTCTGATTCATTAAATTTCGCACCCGTTGGAAGAAGTGCTGAACTTGCTGTATGTGAAAAGGGGCAGCCATCACTCTACCTAATAATTCTTCCTGGGTGTCTACAGGAGTTTCGTACACCAACGACTTCATGTAACCTCCACAAATGAAATAATCCAATGGGGTTAAATCGGGACTTCGCGTTGGCTACCAATCTATCGCGCAGGAAATTGTTGGTTTAGGTAATCCTGAACAGGACGAGCAAAATGTGCCGGTGCACCGTCATGTTGGAACCACATTTTACCGTTTCTTTTACATTCAAAAAGTTAAGAACAACTTTTCAAACAGAAATAACTCTGGAGCCAAAACGGCCAACAAACGGCTGTACGATCCTAGGGTCTGGCGAAAAGTAGTACTAATGTTGATAAATCGAAGGGATATTCACCTGAAACCGTCGGTGCAGGGTTGTTGGGCCGGAGCGAACGTGGTCTTGTTCTTTTTACTGCACATCATCAAGTCCTCGTCGCTGTTGTCGCCGCAATCGTTCTCGCCGTCGCACAACCACAATCTCGGAATGCAGTCCTTGAGGTGTTTGCTGCGGCATTCGAAATCCTCGTCGGCGCACATGGCGCAGCCGATCTCGTCCTCGTGCTTGGGACAGTCGGATTTGCCGTCGCATTTCGCTCCTGGAATTCGATTGGTAACGAAAAGCGGATTAGTGGTTACGCGGAAACGCCTGCTCTACACTGTTGGAAAATTATTCGCGCATAATAGGGAAATCAATGTTAAATTCTTAGCCGGCTGAAATCCAGTCTACCAGTGTACATTTCAATAGAACGTCGCGATTAATTCTAATAAATTTAATTGTTCTACTGGACTTCACACCGCGCTTTGGCTTGGTTAGATTAAAAATCAAATAATTTCGACGGTTTCGACACTTCGACAGTATCAAAACGGGTTCGGATGGGTGAACGTCGAGTCGATTAAAAAGAAATGAGAATTTTTAAACGATAATTTATTGAAAAAATATCACTAATATTAAAATAGAATTATGTAGATATGTCTTTTTGTCACAATGGCTTGAAAAAGAAAGTAAATTCTAAGAAAATAATAAAAAGGAAACTTCAAAAATAAACTTAAAGATTATTTTAAAACAGAAAATAAAAGAACTCTAAAAAATAGTCTACCGCTTTCTGCTAAACTATAGCCAAACCTGTCATACAGATGTCATCTCATATTACTGAGCTGAGGTGTAATTTAAGCAGAAAATTGAATTATTTTTTTCTTATTTTTCCTTATTTTAACAAGATTTGTTGCTCTTTCAAAACTGTACCTACCGATACACACATTTTTTTGAAATATCCCCAAAAAACCTATTAATTGTAGTTTCTAAATAATTTTGTACCTCATACCTAACACAAATAACTTTGTACCTCTACAAATCGCGGCGTGCGGTCCAGTAGAACAATTAAATTTATTAGAATTGATCGCGACGTTCTATTGAAATGTATACTGGTAGACTGGATTTTAGCCGGCTAAGAATTTAACATTGATTTCCCTATTATGCGAAATTAAATTTCCAACAGTGTATATTTCTAAGGTCTGGAAACAGCCTATGCGTATGCATTAGTGATTTGAGAATGTGTCCCGTTATTTGAAGACTTTTTAAGCTTCACTTTTGCGCCGCACCGTGGCGAACGATCGGAGGACCAACTTATCTCAGCCAATCAGCGTCGCGCTACATATAAATCGCGGTTGTGTGAAACGACAGTTCAAGCTGTCAAAACTGCAAAAATTATTTTTTGACATTTCGAGGAGAAAATGGAGGAATACATTACCTGAAGATACGTAAGGCATGATGTTAACAACAAAATCATCGCTGATTTAAGTATATTTTTATATTTTCTATCTATTTTTAGTTTGATTTTAACCTTTTAAATGCTAATTCTACACAATTCGTACCCAAAAAACCGTGGTCCTTTACAACATCGCCTCCTAGCGACCGCTTTAGGAACCCTGTTATATCCTCAAATAACGGGACACTCTTTCGACTAATGTTTCCAGACCTTAGAAATATACGATAGTGCTCGGAAACGTACCCAAAGGAATGCAAATGGAAGCGTTGGACGAGCAGGCCGTCTCGTAGGCGGTGCAATTGTGCGGGGCCCTCTGGTGACACATGTGAATCTTCTCGTCGGAATGGTCGCCGCAATTGTCGAAACCGTCGCACAATAATTTCTTATCCACGCACAGGCCGTTGTCGCATTTGAAGTGGCTCGCCGGGCATACCGTATCTGCGAAAGGCGCGTTACAAATTCATCTAATTGGTTATATAAGATTTGTTCCAGCAGCATGTTTTGTTTTGTTGCGAAGATTGTGAGCATGCGCAATGATTTTAAATCGTTCTAGCAGCGTGTTATTTGGTGTTCTGAGTAAATGTTTGGTGTTCCGGCAGAATTCGTTTTTTGTTTGGATCATGTTTGAGATCTGCCAAACTGTTCTCGTTTGAAGTGAGAATATTTAGAACATTTCGAATATAAGTAAGGTAATATCAGTTTGTTGTTGGTCATAAATATTTGTTTAGTTACAATTTAATTGTAAAATATGGAAAGTATTGACTTATTTGGAGCTATGGGCGAAAGTAGTTATGAAATACTTATCGGAAAACGATATTGAAGAATTGTTGGAAGAAACGCAGAGACCAAAAAATAAAAATTATATCGAGGAAACTGTTCTCTGAAAATATTCGGAAAATGAATTCAAAGAACATTTCCGTATTACAGGATACACAACAACTGCTCGAGGTGTTTCAGCAAGAAATGTTTCAATATTATAAAGAACTTGTATACATCAGGACATGCGCAATACAATACTGATACAAACATAATTTGAACATACTGCTGGAACAAACCTATAGAACTATTATCGGGACAAAACAAATATCAATGCACGTCATCTATAATTTATTACGTCACAAATAGGCAATGTTGCCGTACTTTTATAGAGTTTACAAAATTTAAGAATTTTCTAAAATTGTCAAATTGCAAAATGACAAGAACAAATTGAAAATTAGGGGTACATATTTCAAGTTTCTAAACGGCGGAAGTAATCAGGGACTCACTATAATTAATCATCAAAATCCTTTATCATCAAAAAAATTTCCCCTTGCTCCATTTCCGATTGCAACATGGTCATTTCTATGAGTGGAACAAAGAAAGATTATTAAAATGACAGTTGTCAGAGTGAAAAGTTGCAATGACACAAATGTCACTCTTTCCTTTTCCTTTTTAGGTGTCTAATGGAAGTTGTCTTTATCTCACCTATGGCCTATACAACCTATGTTGCGATAAAAAATGGAGCAACTTGTATTTAACAGTGCCAGTAAAAATATTAGTGTACAATAGACCCTTAAAAGACTACATCGTGAAATTTATGAGAAAACTTCTGAAACTGAATTACTTTAGAGGTCAAATTGTGTAAAAAATTCTTGTTTCTTAATTATTAGGTTGAATAGCCTTTAGTAGTTGATGCTAGTAAACTAGAAAAAAGAAAAAGAAATTGTAAATTAAAAGTACCGATCGAATGACAATGGCAACAATGCAACTTGATAGCCAGTGCCTACCAACCTACTATAAGAAAATAATAATAGTTTTAAATACAAACGATGAATTTTGACAAAATATATATTTTTGTGGATGATTTAATTCTGCTTTTTAACATTTTCTATCATCCCTTGTTAATATTAAATTAAATCCTGCAGATATTAAGCTTAACCTATTTTGTGTATTTATTTTTAAAAGTTGGCCACAATGCTTGGCAAGTATGATGACACTAGTGACGTGCATTAATATTTGTTTTACACCGACTATACATTAACAACACTTACCGCAATGTTCATCGGAATTATCCGCGCAATCGTAATCCTGATCGCACTCCCACTCCTTGGGAATACAAGCGCCCGAATCGCACCTGCAAGCACCACATAACGTAGCCCTACAACTCGCTATCAACCTGCAACAACTCACCTAAACTGCGTTACATTGCACTCCTTCGTCTGGCAATGCAACTCGTCCGTATTGTCCGTGCAATCGGAGACGCCGTCGCAGTGGAAATGCCCGCTGATGCATTCGCCGTTCGAGCAGGCGAAGTGATCGGGCGCGCATCGCGTGCCGTTCATCACGTCGCCGCAACCGTGCTCGTCCGATTTATCCTTGCAATCGTAGCGCAGGTTGCACGCCAGCCCTTCGGCGATGCAATCGCCGTCGGCGCATCGGAACCGCCCGTCGCCGCACGTCTTCGTCGCCGCGCAATCGTCCTCGTCTTCGCCGAAGAGGCAATCCTTCCGGCCGTCGCAACGCAGGCTCTTCACGATGCACGCGTTGGACTGCGCGCACAGAAATTCGTCGCTGATGCAACCCACTCGCTTGGCGCACGTGCGATTGTCCTGTTTCAGTTCCCAACCGATCGGACATCGGCACACGATCGATTTCTGCGATTGGACGCACAAGTGGCTGCAGCCGTTGTTGTTGATGCGACAGAGGTTGGTCTCCTTGCGGCGCGACGTCACCGACGCCAGGTGCACCTTGTCCGGATCGTCGGGGAAGGCGAGCGTGATTTTCTTGTCGTAGTTCGACGGGACTTTCTTCGACGTCCAGTAGAGCTGCTTCGAGCGGGCGTTCATCCAGAACACGTCGTCTTTGAGGACCACCAGGCTGGTGGGGTGCGTGTCGACGGTTCTGAAGTGGATGCGATCGTCGCCGTCGACGCTGGTCGATTCGATGACGCCGTTGGCGGCGTCGGCGAAGAAGACCCTGTGCAAATCGGCGTCGTACGCGAGCACGACGGGGCCCGTCAGTTTGGTGTCGATGGCGTGCGTTCGGCCGGTGCCGTCCATGAAGAAGCGATCGATGTGGCTGCGTCCCTCGCCTCCGAAGCTTATAAACATCACCCTTAACGGGAAAAAATTTAACATTAGAAGTACTACCTCTTGTAATCGTACAAGCGTCTTCCATTGGTAAAACAGTGCGCACTGAAATTGCACTCGAAACAAAATTTTTGTTTGATTTGGTGGACTGTGCGAGTGTTTTGATTTCTATTGGCAATCTGGCCACCAAAAAACACTTTTGGAAATCAAAACACTCGCATAGTCCACCAAATGAAGCAAAAATTTTGTTTTGAGTGCAATTTCAGCGCCCACTATTTTACCAATGGAAAACGCCATAAAGTTGACCTTTTTAATCTTCGCTTAAGATTAAACAATAAATTTTGATGGTTTATGAACAGTTTAAACGAAAATAGACTTTACTGTAGTATGCAACTAGTTAATTAGACGGAAAATTGGCAATAAAATATCTTTTTGTAATATGGTCAAATGGAGATTTTCTCATAAGGTTGTTTCTGCATGGAATTTGACCATCTTAAAACTACTTTTGTGTCTCACAGGGTTCTTTGAAATAATTGTCGAAATTTTAGCTCATTTTCTTGATAAATTTGAAAAATGTTTCTAGCGAAACTTGCTAATTTTGATGCCAAGATTCCGAATTTTCAATAAAAAATAGGGGTTTCTATTTAAATTTGTAAAGTTACCCGCCACTCCTCCTTTGAGGGATGGGGTAGCGGTTTTATTCAGGATCTCCAACATATCCAAATCATCATCAAAAATATCTTCATAATCTATGTTAATTTGTTCAATTTCCATCACAAGTAAATAATAGCTGATGATTAATAATATACAATAAACAAAAAATAAACAATAAACCTCGATAACCTTAAAAATGTCTTTTTGTTTTCACAGAATAGACCTATTCAGTTTACGAAAGAGAGTGATGGAGTTATTTGATCAACATAAGAGAATAAAAGAAACAAATATGTTTCACGCGCAATCTGTGGAACCATTTAAAATCTGCGCAAACATAAGTGCAAGAGAGATGAGATATTTGGCCTATTTCTTTGCTGATTGACAGACACATTGAATGATTCTTAGATGAAAACTGTTTTAAATATAAAAAAGAAGAGACCAACTTCAATCTTAACCCCATTTTGTTTCCGTTTGATGTTTGTTTATGTTCAGTGTGTATTATTTTTTAACAGTATTTCTTTGTATTATTTAGTATATTTATTTATAAAGGTAATAATTTTTTGTATAGGTCAATGGGATTATTTTTTTGAAATATATATTATAGCAAACCGATCAAAAAGCATTTTCGGAAACTTTGTACTAACCCTCTTACTCTTTCTTAGACTTGTACGTAAATATTAAGCCTATAACCCCTTTCTGGGCAGTAAAAACAAATTTGTATCGAGTCACCGCGTCCATTAAATCCGACGGATTGTTGGATAATGACAAATGACGTCTTCAGTTGTCGTTGTCTGGTTGTCAGAACCGTATTTTACCTGAGGTGCGTTCGTTTGTTCGTTTAGATGTCCAGCTAATTGTCCACAGTATGCGCGCGCAGCACAGGTTAAACTGAATAGGTCTATACTGAGAATACAAAACTTAGAATCCAAATTCTATGTTCTGTGGTCTTTTTTTCGAATGACAACTAAGTGTAACCAACATTAACTATTCCAAATAAAAACCCCAAAAAGTTATAGATTAACTAAACTATTCACTTTTATAAATGGTGCAACGTTAATGAACTTAAGCGAAGTATAAAATTAAACTCTAGTTTAATTAAGTTTCGTTTAGTTCTAGTTTAGTGCAAGACCCTTTTAGTGGATTAATGTTCTGACGATACTGTGCTGATTTGTATTCAAAATAGGAACATTTCTTGAAAATAATAACAACAGTGCATTTTGTGTTGGATAGATTTTTAGGTCACGTGGGAATCAATCATTTATGAAGACTCTGTAGGTAAGCGTTCGATTAAGGGCAGGTTTATCAATTGAGGGTTACCCCTCGAGTTAAAGATAACCCTGAGTTAAACTGCCAAAAGTGTTTTTCCATCGCAGGTCAACTGTTAACTCGAGGGATACTCCTGGGTTATCTTAACTCGCGCAAATTTGGCAGGTTTGTGGATTTGACTCTGGGTTAACCTAAAATTTGCGTGTTTTTCTGTTGTCAAACGCATTTTTTCATTGTTTTTAAGTAAATCCAATGGAAGACCTAGATTTTAGCGATGACGACCAAGACGTTCTAGAATTTATAGGTCATCAGCGGGGATCCTATATTGTAAGGCCACGGCAAAATCCGTTTGAAGATTTTTATGAGCATGATGTTTTCGCTCGCTTTTTATTAAAAAAAGAAACCGTTTTGTTTGTGTTAAAGCCCATAGAAGGTACATGGTAAAATTTCCTACAAATAAGTTTTTTTTTTCGAATTCGGAAAAATTCGATTCTCTCCTTCTATCCGCCATATTTATTCTTCTGACTTCTAATTTTCATTTCAAATATTCAAAACCAAAAAAGTTAGGTTATTATAGTCAAGAAATGTCAAAAAACGAGCACAAAACAACGTTGCCAAAGCTTCAACGGCTATAATGTATTGCCAACCTTTCAGCATTTCGTGGGTTTGCTAGCCCAGGGTTAAAAAAGCTTGGATAAACACTTTTATTCTTAACTCGCAATTTAGCCCAGAGTTAGAGGTAACCCAGGGTTGGCTAACTCGGCGAGTTATCCCTCAATTGATAAACCGGCCCTTATATGTGTAAAGGTGAAACTTACCCTTCGTCGGGAACTAACGCGATACTTTGCGGGTACTCTCCTAACGTGTCGTGAATTAAAATTCGCCGAGCCATCGTGTTGATACTGATTACTTCTACCACTTTGCGGACCGAATCGCAGATGTAAAGATTGTTGCTTTTGGAATCTACAAGTAGATAACAATTTATAACAAGTGCATAAAATGATTATTAAGCAATCACCGAAATCCATAGCGTTGATTCTACCCAAATCGGGTATATCCATTACTTTGCTGGTACCGGTCTTCATGTGCAAAGTGGTGATTCTCTTAGTCTTGAAATCGCTGATGTACAGTACGTTTTTGAAGCTATCGAATGCCAAGCTTTCAATGTCTCCAGTGGCGCCCGGTAGAGCTGTAACAACATGCCTGCCGAGAATCGGATGCTCGATGTGTACCAACATGTCCCGATGAGCGGCTATGAGACTCTCTATAGGCGACAATTCTTGAAACGAATAGATTAATTAACGCATAAAATCAACAGAAGAATAAATGCACGATTGCACGACATTCACTTAAATTGTAAGTAAAGCTTAACCCTTTAGGTGACGGATATTTCATTGCACCAATGTTATAAGTGAGACTTAAAAATGTTAAGGTGCGTTTAAGTTAAGCGGTAGAAAATGTACGACTTATAGTTCCTCTAAACCAAAAAATGTCAAAATTGGAATTCAGAATGTTTCAAATTTGTGAATACAAAATATAACCTGTAATAATAAATAATAAAAATGTATATTGAAATCGACAATCATAGAAGAATATTGGAGACGGTTGGAGGACGATTGTTAATCATGGATTTCCACGACAAATTTACGAACGAAATAATTATATAGATAGTATGGATGAACCATCTTTTGTAAAAAAATATTGTCTAACTAGAGAAAAATGTTATAAATTTGTCAATGAATCCGCCTCTTCTTGCATTCTAAGATGTTTTTGAATTGAACAATTATATCAAAAAAACTTCACTAGTAAAGTTAAGACTTCTAACTCGCTTTTTTTCTTTCATTTTATTCGAAGAGGGATTTTTTTGTCAGACTCTACAAACGATCCAAATCGCAGAATATTGCAGTTGTGCCACATTTATATTAAATGCGCGAATGCGCCCCCAAATCAAACGCAATATGAAGTGTAATGTGAAGTTAAGTTGGCCAATTTGCAGACTGACCAACATTAAACACCAAAATAAAACTAGATCTAGGCAATGTTGCCAAAGCTAAGTGGCATTTTACTAAGTTGACCCTAATGCCCGATTTCACCAACATGTTGTTAGGTATTTCCTAACTAGGTAATTCCTAAGGTAGGAATTACTTAAATCGAATACTTATCTAAATCGAATTTCACCAACATTAGAAATCCCTTACTAAGAAATACCTAGGTTAAAATTTGATTTCGACAATTTTTTGAATTTTATTGGCAATATTGGATAATTTTGACGTGTAAACCGAATAAGCGGAGATCGAAATTGAATATGTTGAGAGAAAAGAAGAGATGTTGACGATCCGGGCCATCTTTAAACTATGTTAGTTATTTTTAAATCTGCTGAAGATGTAGTCTGTACATTATTAGAAAAATAACCGTTCCGATTTGTAAAATATTTCTACATCTTCTTCTCCAGGACTATGGATCTTTACATGCATGTGTACGATCAATAGTTCCAAAAACTTCCTGTGTATCAAATTAAAAATCATCTTCAATTCATTCTAATATTTGTAATGCCGTATTTTCATATATCGAAAAAGGCGAAAAAAAAATCAGTTTCGTCCAGTTTCTAAAAACTCTCCTCCCATTTTAAATTTTCATCTAATGAGTCTAGACAGTCAAGACTTAAGTCACATGAAATCACATGAAAAGTATGGTTAAGTATTTCCTAAATGTTTTAGGCAAGCCCACTGAGCTGTCCTAACTTTAGGCATTTCCTATTACCTTTAGGTATGGTTAAACGCATGGTTAAACGCAAATTGTACTTAGGAATTCCTAAATCCGGTTTAGGTATTACCTAACTTTAGGAACTGGTTGGTGAAATCGGGCATAAGTGTCAGTGGTGCAATACTTAAAAAGGCCAAGTGAAACTTGGAGTTACATAAGTGCAAGTTAATTAAGCTGGAGATTTAGGCGAAGGTCGTGCAATCGGTCATAAACCATATAAATACCTTTACAAAACATTCCGTCGGGCTGTAGGACCTTGTTCTGCGGACAAGCGCAGCTGTACGATGTACCTTTCAGCAAGCACAGGTCGCTGCACAGGGCCGTCTCGCAGGGATTTACGCTGCGCGACTGTTGCGCAGGATGGTATATGCTGATACCGTAGATGAGTTCCTTCTCTTCGATCATCGTCCGGTGATTCTTCCCGTCGAATTTGTCGCACTGCTGGATGGTGCGCGTCGCCCAATCCGACCAGTACAATTTATCTTCGAATACCGCTATGGCGTACGGATGCTTCACGATATCTTCTAATATTATCTAAATAAAAACGCAGATTTGTTGGTGGAATTGTAGATAAGAAGGGTGTCGATTCAAATGGATTGCTATTTATTTGAATTGGAAAGACTAGAGGAATATCAAGAGGAAGATCATTAGGAAGATCATTAGGAAGATCATGAGGATGATCTGGAGGAAGATCTGGAGGAAGATTTGGAGGAAGATCTGGAGGACGATCCGGAGGATGATTTGAAGGAAGGAAGATCTGGAGGAAGATCAGGAGGATGATTTGAAGGAAGGAAGATCTGATGGAAGATCTTGAAAAAGATCTGGAGCAAGAGCAAGAGCAAGAGCAAGAGCAAGAGCAAGAGCAAGAGCAAGAGCAAGAGCAAGAGCAAGAGCAAGAGCAAGAGCAAGAGCAAGAGCAAGAGCAAGAGCAAGAGCAAGAGCAAGAGCAAGAGCAAGAGCAAGAGCAAGAGCAAGAGCAAGAGCAAGAGCAAGAGCAAGAGCAAGAGCAAGAGCAAGAGCAAGAGCAAGAGCAAGAGCAAGAGCAAGAGCAAGAACAAGAGCAAAGAAAAATAATAAGATCAAAGAGCAATAACGAGAGCAAAGAACTACAGGGTGTTTCACAACTTATCCGACAAATTTTCAACGAAATCAACTTCTCTCTCTTTGATAAATCTCAAAAAAAATGTAATAAAAGTCCTACAGAAATAAAATTATAAACCCGAGTTTCAATAAAAAATTGAAAAATAAATACTGCATTTTGCGTTCATAATTTTGCCTTAATACTTTACTGTAGCAAATGTTGCACCAAAACAATCGTTAAAATAAAAAAAAACAAGCACCCAAGCTTGCATTGCAGTAAATGGGAACAATTTTGAACATCTTGTATAAGTAATTGAACTGTTAAACTATTATTTTATTATCTCGATTTCTGTAAGACTTTTATTACATTTTTTTTGGGGAAATTAACTTCTCTCGTAACAGTGCATATGTGGTTAAAATTTGTCGGATAAATTGTGAAACACCCTGTATAACAAGAGCAAAGATTCACAACCAGAGCAAAGAACCATAAACAAGAGCAAAGAATAATAACAAAAGCAAAGTACAATATTAAGAGCAAAAGCATGATCAAGTGAAGATCAATAAAAAAAAGGCAGTATGCTCACCCTTCGATCAGTTCCATCTAAACGGATGCTTTCCAACGTCATCTTCTTAGCATCCGTCCAGTACAGTCTGCTATTAGGATGATCCAATGCTAAACCGTTGGGCCAATGAATGTCTTTTTCTACGAAGGGTTTATCATTTGATCCGTCCATTAATGAGTAACCGATTCGCGACGGTTCTTCCCAATCCGTCCAATACATGTCGCTAGAACGTAATAAAAATGGAATAAAAAAATTGATTGTTTACAAGCTGTATGTACATACCCGTCCAAGACGTTAAGAACGATGCCTCTGGGTTTCGCGATGTCCTTATTGATTAAAACAGCGCAATGGGTCCCGTCGGGCGAGCAAACTCCTATGTGTTTCTTCTCGCCATCGGTGAAATAAATGTTACCCGTCAACCAGTCGATGGCCAAATCCTCCGGCAGATCTATACCGGCCGTTACTAAAACCTCCTTTTGCGACCCGTCCTCGGCGCTCCGGGCGATGTTCTCGTAGCCCCCGTATATCTCCGTCCAGTAGACCCGGCGACCGTCGAAATCGACGCCCACCACTTTCTTCAAGTTCTTGGCGACGAGGATGTAACTGGTCAAATTCAACGCCACCGCTCTGATCTGATCCTTCGAACTGAACACCATGACGCCCACCTCGCCATCGGCCTTGCAGGTTTTCTTGTCCTCCGCCAAATGGTACGCCTTGTCGCAGTAGCACTCGTACGAGCCCGGCGTGTTCCGGCACATTTGATCGCATATACCTGTCGATTAAAATTGCACCTTTATACCAGTCCAACCTAATCATAAACCCAACACAAGACCGATACAAATACAGGAAATTGCCCACCAGACAGTTCATCATGTAGAGACTTAAACAAGTCGAAGAAGACATAAAATGTTACCGTATGTTTCGCATTCGTTGATGTCCTCGCAGTTCTTCTCGTCGAGCGTGTGGTAGCCGAGGGGGCAGAGGCACGTGGGGCCGGCGGGCAGCGGTATGCAAACGTGCGAGCACTTGTGATCGCCCCGGCACGCCTTGGCGGACGCGTTGCAATTGGGCGATTCGTCCGAATTGTCCGGACAGTGGTTGTGTCCGTCGCAAACCGATTCCGTATCGATGCACGTCACGTTGTTGTGGCAGAGGAACTTGCGCTTGTCCAACGTGCACTGGTCGATGGGGACGTGGTCCTCTGGAAGAAGGTACCAAAATAATTAAGACACTACCTTTGATTGATAAAATTTACCAGTAGTGAACAAACTAGAGTTCGAATATAATAAGAGAGTACTCATATTAAAGAGGATACGATATTAGGGATAATAATAATCATGCCAAAGTTGTTGAGGATATTGAGGAGAGTATGAATACTATTAAAGAGGCATTGAGGAGGGGATTAAGAGGACATTAATAATATTAGGGTGCATAATAAGGGGATGAAGACTAATAAAGAGGATATTAGTGGCGAAATTAACGATATTAGGGATGGGGATAATGAGGCCAATATTGAGGAGGATATTAAGTATAGTATGAATACTGTTAAAAGAGGCATAAAGGAGGATATTAAAAATATTAGGGTGCATAATAAGGACGATATTTAGTGGGATATTAGGGAGGACATTAACACTGTTAAAGATTATATTACCGGTGATATTAACGATATTAGGGATGTTGATAATGAGTCAAATATTGCGAAAGATATTGAGGAGAGTATGAAGACTGTTAAAGAGGACATTAAGGATGAAATTGTGAATATTAAGGTGCATAATAAGGACTAAATTAACGGATATTAAAGAGGACATGAAGACTATTAAAGAGGATATTACGAGCGATATTAAGGATATTAGTGATAATGATAATGATAATGAGGGCATTAAGGAGGTTATTAGGGTGCATAGGTGAAGAAGGTACCAAAATAATAAAGAAACTACCTTTGATTGATAAAATTTACCAGTTGTGAACAAACTAGAGGTCGAATATAATAAGAGAGTACTCATATTAGATAGGATACGATATTAGGGATAATAATAATCATGCCAAAGTTGTTGAGGATATTGAGGAAAGTATGAATACTATTAAAGAGGACATTGAGGAGGGGATTAAGAGGACATTAATAATATTAGGGTGCATAATAAGGACGATATTGAGTGAGATATTAAGGAGGGGATGAAGACTAATAAAGAGGATATTAGTGGCGAAATTAACGATATTAGGGATGGGGATAATGAGGCCAATATTGAGGAGGATATTGCGGAGGATATTAAGTAGAGTATTAATATTGTTAAAAGAGGCATAAAGGAGGATATTAAAAATATTAGGGTGCATAATAAGGACGATATTTAGTGGGATATTAAGGAGGACATTAACACTATTAAAGATTATATTACAGGTGATATTAACGATATTAGGGATGATGATAATGAGTCAAATATTGCGAAAGATATTGAGGAGAGTATGAAGACTGTTAAAGAGGGCATTAAGGAGGATATTAAGAATATTAGGGTACATAATAAGGGCGAAATTAAGCGATATTAAAGAGGACATTGAGACTATTAAAGAGGATATTACGGGGGTTGATTGAGGATTGAGTATGATACGAAGATTATTGTAGAGGATATTAGGCAGGGTATTGAAGAGGCTTTTAAGAAAGATATACTATTGGGAAACTATTAAAGAGGACTATTAGGAAGGATATTAAGAGATATTAAGGATATTATGGAGGGTAACAAGGACTAGTCTATACAGGGTGTCTACTATAAAAACCGCCAAACTTCAGGAGGTGATTATACAAGTAATTTTGAACAAAAAATGTCCTATAACACTTTTTCGAAAAGTCGATAGTTTCTATTTTATTTAATATTTCATTATTTTAAATTTTTTTTGGTTTTTTTCCAAAAAGATCGAAATATCACATTTATTCGTATAGTCACATTAATTTTGATCATACAGTGCTTTCATTTCAAAACTAGCCACCCAAGATAACTTTTAAAATATCTTTAAAACAAAAGAACAAAAAAACACGTCAATTTTTATTTACGGGGGGACAAATTTTACAGGTATCTGTCACCCTGCAGTTTCAACCCCTAAGCGGGGGTGAATATCACTTCTAAAAGTTTAAATAGGAAGGGGTATCATGTGATAGCTCTTTTTAAAGGTCTCTTTTTTTTCCAATCTTTTGACACATTATTTTTTTGAATCGGATTATTTTTAACGAGTTATGAGCTAGAAACCGTTAAAAATTTGAAATTTTGAATTGGAATTAAAAAAATACATGATTATAAATATCGAGATAAGCAAGTGAGAAAAAAACCTTAAATGTTTTTACAAAAGATATTTTTGACTATAAATTTAAACAATTTACTATTAGTATTTTGGTTTCGTTGTGTACTAACCAACAATTTTCGAAAATGGTTTATTCTTTACAAGAAAGAATTGAAATAATATTTATTTATGGAGAAGAACAACACTGTGCACGCAGAACTGCTCATGTTTTTAATCAAAGACATTCCGATAAAAATGTTGGACATCAGTATGTGTTGGATTTAGTTCATAAATTTCAAGAAACTGGAAGTGTGTGCAAAAAAGTGTCAAGAATCGTAGAGTTTTAACTGAAGCTGCACAAGTTGAGATTTTAGGTCATTTTGCCATAGATCCTCAAACATCAATACAAAAAGTCTCCAGGTTAACAAATATTTCCGTCGGCTCGGTGCATAGGCTCGGTGCATAACACGTTACGGCTAAATAATTTTTTTCCCTACAAAATACAGCTTTTACAACAGCTTGCTGATGATGATTATGACAGAAGATTAGAATTCTGCGAATTAATGAGTCAAAGAGCAAATGAAGACCCTAATTTAATTAAAAATATTAGTTTTTCTGGCGAGGCAGCATTCTTTTTAAATGGATTTGTCAATAAACATAATTGTAGATACTGGGACAATACCAATCCACTTGTTTTTCGGGAAGAGCACAATCAATATCCTCAGAAAATTAACGTATGGGCCGGAATTCTCGGAAATAAAATTATTGGTCCTTTATTCATGGAAGAAAATTTAACTGGGGAATTGTATTTGGACTTATTAGAAAATTTCATAAATCCCCTTATAACCGAATCTTTAGAAAACCAAATAGATGAAGATGGAAATTTGTTGCTAGACGAAGAAAACCTATTTTTTCAACAAGACGGAGCACCTCCACATTATGCCTTGCCTGTACGAAATTGGCTATGAGACATTTCCAAATAAATGGATCGGAAGAAGGGGCGCTATAGAATGGCCAGCTAGATCACCCGACCTAACGCCCCTTGACTTTTTGTTTATGGGGACATCTAAAAACTGTGGTGTATAAAACTCAACCTCGCGATATTCTTGAACTTAGACGTAGAATAGTGGAGAAGTGTGAGCGAATTACACCAGAGACGCTTCAAAAAGTGCGGGAGGAATTCGAGCTGCGACTTTACTATTGTCTTCTAAACAATGGCGGACATTTTGAACATCTAATTTAATAACAAGGTAATTCTAATACTAATAAAATATTAATAATGCAAATACGATCTAAATAATAATTATTTTAATTTAAAATGGCATAACTCTGTAAAAAATAATCCGATTTAAAAAATAATGTGTCAAAAGATTGGAAAAAAGAGACCTTTAAAAAGAGCTATCACATGATACCCCTTCCTATTTAAACTTTTAGAAGTGATATTCACCCCCGCTTAGGGGTTGAAACTGCAGGGTGACAGATACCTGTAAAATTTGTCCCCCCGTAAATAAAAATTGACGTGTTTTTTTGTTCTTTTGTTTTAAAGATATTTTAAAAGTTATCTTGGGTGGCTAGTTTTGAAATGAAAGCACTGTATACCGTAAAAGTGCATTAAATTTGCTATAAAAAAGTATTTATCAGAGTTAAAAAAAATCAATACCGGGAGTTATAAAAGATTTAATTGTTATGAATATGAAATGAACAAAATTATATGTATCTTTTAATGGTCGCAAAGCCAACAATTTTACCAAGTTTACCAATTTTACCAAGCCAACAAGTTTTTTTTTTAGTAAAAACTACTGTATTTAATAAGCTTTTAAGAGGTATACTCTTATAGTTATTAAGTTATTCAAACAAGAATATGCCGAAAATAAAAATCTACAAATAATTAATTAGTGATTCTATATAAAAAAAATGAAAGGTATGTGAAGAAAATGCCTAAATTTGCCTTAAAATCTTTCATAAGCGTGTTACAGGAAGATACAGGTCTTTAAAAGTGTAGGGTAAGTTTAAAACCGTCCGTGTTATAGGACATTTTTTATTCAAAATTACTTGTATAATCACCCCCTGAAGTTTGGCGGTTTTTATAGTAGACACCCTGTATTGAGGAAGATACTAAGGAAGCCGTGAAGACTATTAAATAGTGTTAATTAAGAGGAATATTAAGCAAGATGTTGAGGAGGAAATTAACGATAATACGAAAACAATTAAAAAGGATATCAAGCAGGACACCGAGGACGAATTTAAGTGAGGTATAAATTATCGGAAGGTCCTTACCGCAGTTCTCTTCGTCGCTGTTATCGATGCAATCGTTGTGATGGTCGCAGACCCACTCTTTGGGCACGCAATGCTTGTTCTTGCAGCGGAACCCGTCGCAATCGATTTGCCTGCTGCAACCGATGGTTTCGTCGGATCCGTCGATGCATTCCGGCGTGCCGTCGCACACCCAATCGTTGGGTATGCACAATTTATCGGCGCACCTCCAGGTGCCCTCCTCGCAAGCCGACGCCACCAAAGACTAATTGGACGATATCAAACGATTAATAAATTGCGATTATCCTCCCGGCCAAAGTAGCACCGAAGGTTCTGGTATAAACCCGATGCTCCGATGGCGTGGAGGACGAATTGAGGATGATTAGCGAACGTACGAGGAGAGAGCAATAGTTTAGGAAAAATCGGGCGAAACGCATTATTTGCGATGCGAAAACCGACTGACCTGGAAGCTTTGGCAGTTCAACTCGTCGGAGAAGTCGTCGCAATCGTTCATTTTATCGCAGACCAAATCGTGACTGATGCATTTGTTATTTTTACAGCGGAAGAACTCCGGCTCATCGCAGAGCTGCAAATCTGTGGGAATAATTGCGGCGTTACGTGGATAATTATATTGCGATAAATATATTGATATGTTTGATATATGGAAAAATATATTGCGATACGCACCGCATTCCAATTCGTCCGATCCGTCCGGGCAATCCATTATCAAGTCGCATCTGGCTTTGAGGCTTATGCATCTTCGATCGGAGCATTGGAATTGTTCGGAGGTGCAATTTCCTTTGGGTGGGAAAACTGCTGACGAAGAGACTGTTACTGCTCCCAGGAGCAATACGAGTAACATTCTCTGGAAATTTAATTACCCAAACGGGTTAATTAACTTCGATGAATAGTGTGAACAATAGCAAGATTAGAGAAGAATCTTTTTTTTTTGTTATTAGACAACTGAATTAATAATTGTGATTAAGTTTATCATGTTTGTCTTGTTCGAATGATTTTATTCATCGAAAATGGCTTTAAAAAATTAAATAAGTTTAATAAATTTAATCGGTGATTCAATAAATTCCAAATATTTAATATAATTCGTTAGATACATACAGGGTGTTAATTCAGTGCCGATATTTCAGGATGTAAATTGGACAATTTTAGAAAAAAAATAACTTTTCTATTATAATTTTCTTATTACTCCAGATATTTTGATGAAATCTACATGCTTTTTAATTATTAAGGAGCATTTTTTTGAGGTAAAAGATTTTTTTAAATTTTTACCAGTGACGTCCGTACGGAGTTTGAACTGAATATGTTTGAAGAAAAAATGGTACGCCAGTGTTTTTTCTAAAAACCAAAATTAGTTTTAAAATCCTCATTTATTTTAGAGCAAATTCGACCCGAAGATTTTCTTACAGACCATTTTCGCTTAAAAATTTTCTTGCAAAAAAAGAAACCTTGCATGAAATTTTCTTGCAAAAAAAGAAACCTTGCATGAAATGAATATTTTCTACTATTACCTCTACTAATACAGAAAAGTAATTTTTTTTTCAAAAATTTTAACACCCTGTAGCTCGAAAACTAAGAGGTTTAGAACATATATTGATATAAACATTTCTTCATAATATCATCCAAATATTCACATCTTGAAGTATCGGCACTCAATTAATTAACACCCTGTGCAAATGGATCCTGCATTTTGCAAAGATATTTTTTGGAAAATTTTGTTCTTGAATTTATTGCTTTTCATCGTTACAAAATGCTTACAGTTTAGTAAATCCTTAATTACATTTCTATAAAATGTATGCAAATTTATTACAATTAATTAATAATGAATCAATATAAAATTTCGTACTAAATTTTTAGTTCTTACCTCAATTATTTCGAGCAGGCCACGTGAAACTGATCGTTTTCAAAGGTAAGTAACACGAGTTATCGCTTTTTTACAGTGCTACTTAGTTTTTCGATAAAAATCAAAAAACCGCAGAAATACAAAAATGTGGTCGAAAACGATATTGAATTCGAAAAATCAACAAGTAAATTTTAAAACGGGCCGTAGAGGAGAGAGGGGATTCGAGCTGATTTTGGGTAAGAATTTGATAAATTCAACGTAAATATTAAAATTCTTGATTAATATTTGCTTTATTTACAACTAAACAACGTACACACTATATACAACTGAGATATCAACAGAAAAATCTAAATGATTACCCAAAAACTTAAAATAAAATACACTCGCTAATGTATCGGCGCAATTAATAATTTGCATGAATATTAAAGACGCGGTAAATGCATAATTTGGTGAAACTATACAAAATTAAAAATAGAACAAATAACAACATTAACAAAACAAACTTCTTAAGCAGTAAATTCATAGCAACTTTATTTTTGCTCTAAAAAAGAAATTGATAGATATCCAACAATGACCAGATAACAATCTCAATATCATAATAAAAAATATCAAAATTACAATAATTCCACCAAAATACGCATCTACCACAATATCAATACAAATAAACAAAATTAATTAACTCTTTCTATATAAAACTTTGGCAACGATTGTTAATGATTTATTTTCAACCTATCATCTATCTACGTTAAAGCCGAGAGAAGAAAACTATATGAATTTTGGGATAATAATTGCATAAAACGCGAGCCGACTTTTTTTTCAATCTGCACAGTCTTGGTATTTGGAAAAAATACTTGGCAATAGTACGGCAACAATCCTGTCAATCGAATTCGATAAAAAAATCGTGGTACTTCTTCATTAAATTCCTACACTGGTTATGTGCTAGAACATCCTTAAAATCTATTATTAAACAAACCACTAATTAAATGTTATTCAGGTAATATTTATCCATTTTATTTTGTTGTATTATTGCTGAGAAGTAGTTTATTGCTCGAAACATAGACAATTGATATCTCCCAACAAATCGATAGAAATATTTCATCTGAATAACAAGGGAATTGCAAACTTGAAACGAATCAAGTTGTACTTTGTAAACGAAACATAGCATTTTATTACGACGATTAAACAGAAATTTAATCGTTGAAATTTTAAAAATCGATTGAGTAAACGCAACATGTGCAAGTTTCAGAATGTTCACCTATTTTAAGTAGTTTTCGTTTGTGTTAGTAATATTTAAAGTTCAACCTTACTGGAATAATGTAATTACGAAAATAACCGCACAGGATGAGTGATGACTATCAGAAAATCGAATAACTGAAGATTCATAAACAAAGTGACTCTCCCCAATAATGGAGAGGAGTACGATGGGAGATATACGGTTTTTAACCGGATATATGAATAGAAATAAGTCATTAGAACTCAAAATAGTTTTCAGTTGCTGAAAATAATCAATATTTTAGGAAATATAGCTCTTTTAAATTTAAAATTTTGACTCGTGACGTGTAAAGTCACTAATCAATCACAAAATGAACGAGTTATATTGTATCATTAGTGGCATAATTCGAACGAAATGTTCGGAAGAATAGAAGAAACAAACAAGAGTTAAATGTAACATCAAATGACAGATGACATATCTAGGGTTATGTTATTGTTTTTTCTTTGTTTTAAGTTTTCTGCCCAAAAATAAACATTTTTTAATATACAATGAAGAATTTTCACAAAACAAAGTTTTAACTACCTTCGGATGCGACATTTTAAAATTGTATAAGTTGATTTAGTTGGAGGTTAAATTTTTGTTTTATTTAATTTGACTTTGACAAGTGACAAGTTAAAAAAGTCAAAAGTATACATTCGATGTTGCCACATTACCATATTTGCTAAACAATAATTTAAAATTTAAGAATTTACAGTACTTCGTAAATATAGGCATATTATATTAGCGAACTTATAATATTTAACAATTATAAGTTCGCTTTATATTTTTCGAATAAATCATAATTCTTAATTGTGATTGGTTAATGGCTTGTGACGTATTTCAAACTTTAAAAATTAATTGTGGCCTGAATAGGAAAGGGAAACAATTTAAAATTTCATCAGACTTCATAAGAATACGTAGTTTTATAAAAAAAATTGTACTCCTCTCCATTTTTTTGCAATTTCGACTAGAAAATTACGACTTATAATACTTATTTTTTATAACAAAATTGCATATGTATGTATGTATTGAAAAACAACCTTAAATCACCTTATATATCCCAATAGTAACCATATCTCAACCTGTACATTCAATGGAATATTAAAGATATCATACATATAATACAAAAGATATATATCACATATTTTTATATTTTTGTTTTATTTTTGTTTAAAATAAACAAAAAGCAGGTAGCTACAGCAACATCATAGAACCATTTATAGCACCAAAATTCGAATGAGATTTCTAATAAGCAATTCGGATTTGAATTTTAAGAAGTAGATTAAACCGTCAAAATTAGATTTGTTAAATTATCTGTAAAACTTTGGTAAATTTACAGAAATCTAGCGTAATCTATTGAGTTTTAATCGATGTAAAATGTTAAAAACTGGATGAAGTGCACCGGTAGTAATTTAACTAATTTCAAAGCAGTGCAGTGTGTTAGTCGTAAAATTACTTCTATTTTTGAAAAATACAAAAATAAAATAAAATTTTCACAAATAGATTTAATCTACAGCACGACTAAAAACAAGAACTGCTATCGAACGTACACAGATCGCTTCTGTTACGACCAGAATTTACCGGGAAGTTACTAATTACCGTTGTAACGCAATTAATAGTCAACAAAAAAAAAATTAATCATCCTGTATGCACGTCGCCATCGAGGCCGTATATCGGAATTTACAAAAAAAATAAGAGCACCTGCTTTTAGAAACCTACTCCGGAATGTTGAATAAAAAAAAAAAGAAAAAATCCAACAACTTAACGCGTTTACTGTACGACTTGCGCTCGAGCCGCCGGCAACGCTCCCTCGACCACCAGATCATCTTGATTGACGTTCCCGCTGATGGTCGTCACGTGATTTCCGATGCTCAAAGCTGCCACCTTGGCGCGTTGGTAAGCGCTCAACGTATTTTGACCCAAAAATCTACAACGAAAACCGCCCGTTAATAACACATACCAGTCATTTGTATAGGAAATAGATGTCAATAAGCCGGGAGCAAATATGGTAGTATCTTCATATAAATTGATTTCATTTGAGCTACCATTTTTGAGCTAGAGGCCTTTAAAGTTGAAAATTTAAAAATTATGTTTACTTTTTATTTCCAAATTATACAGATTGCTTCAATTCAAACCGCAACATGGTCGTTTCTGCGAGTTGAACAAAGAAAGATTAATAAAATAACAGTTGTCAGATTGAAAAGTTGCAATGACACAAATGTCACTCTTTCTTTTTCCTTTATAAAAGTTTAATGGAAGTGGTTAATGGAACCTATGTTGCGATCTGGAATGAAGCACAGTGTATATCGAGGCAATATACACCTTGCTCCATTTCCGATTGCAACATGGTCATTTCTATGAGTGGAACAGAGAAAGATTATTAAAATGACAGTTGTCAGAGTGAAAAGTTTCAATGGCACAAATGTCACTCTTTCCTTTTCCTTTTTAAGTGTCTAATGGAAGTTGTCTTTATCGCACCCATGGTTTATATAACCATGTTGCTATAAAAAATGGAGCAACTTGTATAATTATTGTGGTTTATTAGCTACACCACTGTGCACAATTTGGCAATAAAATGAATCTACTAGTAAGTAGTCTACCAAAACTACTTTTTGGAAGACAGTGGCGGCGTATTACCAGTGATTAACAGTTCGTAACTTTTATAGGGACAATCTGCATAATACAAACATATCGTAAATGCCTTCTTTAATCAATAAACTATGTTGGTTTTAGAGAAATTTTCATTTTTAGATTGAGCTGATAGGTAGAGAGATTTTTGGATAAACAAAAATTTTGGACAAACTCTTATTATTTTTGTAACTATTTACTAAAAATATTGAAAGACAACAATAAACACGATCTTGGAATTTCTTCAGATTGATTTACCACCTGTTTTAGACAAAAGTCCACTAAATCAAGAGATGAATTAATGGACAGAATATTTTTTCATTGTGAAATCAAGAAATGCCTTTTAGGGGGCGAAGAAATATTCTCTTTATGTTTCACAATTGTTTTCAACGACAGGGTTCCCATATCGAACATTTATTAAAATCTTTCGTTTGGCGATTAATAAAAGATTTTCTTTACATCCTGTTTTAAAAATTGAAATTTCTCTTAAACCGTTTATTTTATCGACTTCAAACAAGAGTACATTTTTGTTAGTTTTACGAATAAAGAATGTATTTACAATATGTTTGCCTTATAGATTGTCCCCATAAAAGTTACGAATTGTTAATCACTGGTAATACGCCGCCACTGTCTTCCAAAGAGTAGTGTACGATTCATTTTATCATCAAATTAGGCACATAGGTGTAAGTAATAAACCACAAAAATTCAATATTGTTCCCCTGTATAACTTGGAAATAAAACGTAAAAATAGGCTTTAAATTTTCAATTTTGAACGCATCTAGCTCAAAAAATGGGGACTCAAATTAACAACATTAATATGAAGTTGTAACCTTATTTTTATGTCATCTATACGCTCCCGAATTATTGACATCTATTTTCTGAACACCCTGTAGAATGCTCGATCGCTCCCCTTTGTTCAAGTTCGCTCATGGTCGCTCATTCATGTTTTTTGAGGAGTAGGGATAGAGTAGATTAGAGTAGAATAGAGAGTAGAGAATAGAATAGAGTAGAATAGAATAGAATAGAATAGAGTAGAGTAGAATAGAATAGAATAGAATAGAATAGAATAGAATAGAATAGAATAGAATAGAATAGAATAGAATAGAATAGAATAGAATAGAGTAGAATAGAGTAGAATAGAGTAGAATAGAGTAGAATAGAATAGAGTAGAGTAGAGTAGAATAGAGTAGAGTAGAATAGAACAGAGTAGAGAACTTAACAAAACGCGCTTAACGCGCTTAACGAAATACGTTGACTTACTTGATGCACACATATAGAATCATCAAGGCGAAGCTGGCGCTGCACATTCGTATGTAAGGATTTGGATAGAGCTGGATGACGATCCAAGCGCCGGCTACCGCCAGACACATGCAGGTAACGATGAAGGCCGTACAGCTGCAATGTTGGGCCGTAAAGCCGCGGTCCCATTTCACCTCGGTGCTCTTGTATATGTCGTATTCGTAGTTGCACACTTTGCATTTCAACGCCTCGTTGCTCGACGACGAGCTTTCCATTAACCATCTAAAAAGTATGTACAAAAAATTAGTAGAGTTTACACAGTTAGTAGAGTAAATATACAGCGTTTTTATGGTATAGTCGGTGCAAAACGAATATCAATGCACGTCACCTATGATTTACTACGTTACAAGTAGGCAGTATTGCCGCTTTTATAGAGTTTACAAAATCTAAGAATTTTCTAAAATTGTCAAATGGCAAAATGACAAAAACAAATTGAAAATTAGGGGTATCTGTTTCACGTTTCTAAACGGCGGACGCATTCAGGGGCTCACTATAATTAATCATTAAATTTCTTTACCATCTGAAATATATTTAACAGTGCGAGTAAAAAATTTAGTGTACAATATTGACCCTTAAAAGAGTACATAGTAAAATTTCTGAGAAATTTTCTGAATCTGAATTATTTAGAGCTCAAATTGTGTCATTTCTAACATGTGAAAAATATAACTACGTCAAAATTTTCTTGATTTTTAGCCTGAATAGCTTTTATTAGTTGAGCCAGTAAATAAGAAAAAAGAAGAAGAAATTGAAAATAAAAGTACCGATCGGATGACAACCAGCAACTATCCAACTTGACAGTCAGTTCCTACCAACCTAATATAAGAAAATAATGATATTTTATATACAAACGTTGGATTTTGACAATATAGTATATTTTTTGGATGATTTTAATTTTGCTTTTTAACATTTTCTATCATCCCTTTGTTAATATTAAATTAAATTTTGCAGGTGTTAAGCTTAATCTGTTTTGTGTATTTATTTTTAAAAGTTGGGCACAATGCTTGGCAAGTATGACACGACAGTAGTGACGTGGATTGACATTTGTTTTGCACCAACTGTAGGTAACTGAAGAGGAGAATTATCATAGCAAAATGAACAAAAGTTTGATTATTTCAAAAACGACTTAAAAATATCCACTATTCAATGCCAAAAAATACATAATTATCCATTTAAAATAATAAAGTTCACTTTAGGTTGCTCAAGTTAATCAGACAATTTTAAACATCTTGTACATAATCCATGAAAACTCAGTTTAGTTTCATTTAGTACTGTATCTGGACATTATCGACATCAAGTTTCAAACTTCTAGGTGCATTATTAACAGAGATATCATAGAAAATACACTCGACCGTTTTTCCAAAATATGTCAAAAAAATTAAATAATGATGCATTTTTGCCACATGATATTAATCAAAGTCTAGTGAAAAAAGATCGCAGAATCCAAAAATGTTTTAAAAATGGTACTTAACCAGAAATACATATGATTGAAAACATTTTAGAATAACTCACTACATTGGCCCGTATTCAGCGCCTCACTTTAACTTTAGAGTGACTCTAAAGTCGCGTCTTTAACTTGACAGTTTTACATTGTTGTTATGGAGTAACTAGGGACTCGAGACGCGACTTTAGAGTCACGCTAAAGTTAAAGTATAACTAATACTCCTAAATTTTCAGATTCGCAACTATTAAGCAACTCCTAAAAGTTCTAATGAACGGCTACCACGAAACACCCTATACAGTGTTAGAAAATTATTCGCGCATAATAGGGAAATCAATGTTAAATTCTTAGCCGGCTAAAATCCAGTCTACCAGTATACATTTCAATAGAACGTCGCGATGAATTCTAATAAATTTAATTGTTCTACTGGACTTCACACCGAGCTTTGGCTTGGTTAGATTAAAAATCAAATAATTTCGACGGTTTCGACACTTCGACAGTATCAAAACGGGTTCGGATGGGTGAACGTCGAGTCGATTAAAAAGAAATGAGAATATTTAAACGATAATTTATTGAAAAAATATCACTATTAATAAAATAGAATAATGTAGATATGTCTTTTTGCCACAATGGCTTGAAAAAGAAAGTAATTTCTAATAAAATAATTTAAAGGAAATTCCAAAAATAAACTTAAAGATTATTTTAAAACAGAAAATAAAAGAACTCGAAAAAATAGTCTACCGCTTTCTGCTTAACAATAGCCAAACCTGCCATACAGATGTCATCTCATGTTACTGAGCTGAGGTGTAATTTTAGCAGAAAATTGAATTATTTTTCCTTATTTTAACAAGATTTGTTGCTATTTCAAAACTGTACCTACCGATACACACATTTTTTGAAATATCTCCAAAAAACCTATTAATTGTAGTTTCTAAATAATTTTGTACCTCATACTTAACGCAAATAACTTTGTACCTCTACAAATCGAGGCGTGCGGTCCAGTAGAACAATTAAATTTATTAGAATTCATCGCGACGTTCTATTGAAATGTATACTGGTAGACTGGATTTCAGCCGGTTAAGAATTTAACATTGATTTCCCTATTATGCGAAATTAAATTTCTAACAGTGTATAAAATACAAAATAATCGTTTAATTACCTTCGAAGGCATTCGTGATGAACGCTTGATACGTCCCCGGTACAATCGCACGGCTGAATCAAAGGCTCCTTCTTATCGGCGTCGTAACAAATCCAGCATTCCCTCTTGTCCAGGAAGGCTTCGTTGTCGCTCTCGACCTTGGCGTTTTCATCGGCAACGTTTTCGTTCTTTTGCTGTTCGACTCTGTTGGCCAATAGCTTGCGCGGATTCAATATCCAAAGTTCCGACGGTTGCATGCAGTTCCAGAGCACGGCCGGAAACCATACGGCCACGCCGATTTCGACTATGCGAAAAACGATGTTGTGGAGATTTCTCGAATTTATCGGAACCTACAAGAACGAATTAATTGTGTTCAATCGTTTTTACTAAGCGCTGAGCCTACAAGAACTATGCTATTAATCTTTTACTAAGCACTGAGCGCCTTAACAAACAACGGATATCTTATAAACGTCTTGCTATGACGCCGCTCTATGTTTTTCCTAACATAATCGAATAAGTGAAATTTTAACGAGCCAAACATTCTCGATACCTATTTGCTGTAATTTTGGATTATTTATTATTAATACTAAACATTCCGTTTATCGTGAATGGGTTCGCGACGTGCGTTTGTAACTGACACGAAATTGTCGATACGGTACGCGGAAAAATAAAAATTTATCATCGTTCGATTAGTCGGTTAAAAGATTAAACAAAAAAACGGAAAATTTAATGTAGTCTCACCTTTGTTTTCCAAAATTCGGACAGCGTTTCCGAAAACAAAAACCCGGATATGATGATCAGCATCAATGCTTGACTCAACAAGCCGATCCGGGATTGGTGCAATTGGGAGAAATTGATCTGTTGCTTTATTGTCGATTCATCCTTCAATGGTTCCGTTTCGAAGGAGTTGCTCGCCAGTTGCAAGGATTTTGATATGAATCCGCCTCTTACCTTAAAAAATATAATTAAAAACTCAAATAGGCGATGTAGAATTATCAACGTTAACACATGGAAGTCTCTTTCAGCGACTGTAGTATTATTAAAACGCGCAATTAAAAAAATCTCCGATTTAAATTAATTCGCTAATTAAATATTCATAAATCTGTTGTTAAAAATAACTAATGTTATAGTTTTATATTAAAAATCATTGAACTTGACGAATTATGCTGGTGTGCAAAATGTAAAATATAGTTCATTGTATTTTGTTGTTTGGGAAAAGTCTAATTATACCGTGAAAATTACAAAAGGGAAAGAAAATATTATGATTTTTTTCGACCTTGATATGTGATTCAATTAAAAATAATCAGGTTAAAGGAAATGATTAGTTTTGTTTACAAAACGCATATAGTGAATAGGTATTAAATCAATTATTAATTTATTCTTTCAACATTTCCAGTAGTAAAAATTTACTTGTTATACAAAAATATTCACATTAATCTTTTAGTATACATACGGGGTCTTGCACCAAACTCGAATTAAAGGAAAGTTAATTAAACTAGCGTTTAATTTTAAACTTCGCTTAAGTTCATTAGCGTTGCACCATTTATATAAGTGAAGAGTTTAGTTAATCTAAGTTCTGTATTCTCAGTATTTTCTCGTAGTATTTATTGTATATTATCAATAATCAGATATTATTTACATGTTATGGAAATTGAATAATTAATAATAGATTATGAAGATATTTTTATGATGATTTGGAAATGTTGGAGATCATGAATAAAACCTCTACCCCACCCATCAAAGGAGTGGCGGGTAACTTTAAAAAATAGAAATTCAAAGTAAAATTTTAAATAGAAACCCCTATTTTTTATTGAAAATTCGGAATCCTGGCATCAAAATTAGCAAGTTTTGTTAGAAACATTTTTCAAATGATTCAAGAAAAAAGCTAAAATTTCAAAAATTATTTGAAATAGCCCTATAGGGACACAAAAGTAGTTTTATGATAGTCAAATTCCATAAAGAAACAACCTTATGAGAAAATCTCCCCTTGACCATATTAGAATTAAACTACGTTTAAATCCCATTGGTGCAAGAACCCGTTAAAACCTTGTATTGAAAAAATATTAATCGACTCACATGCAATACATCATAATATTCAAACAAAGCAAATAATTTTCTAGTTAGTTACTTTTTATTTGCATTAATTAATATACGATTCATCCACAAAGGAAATTTAACACTTTGTTCTTGCATCGACGAAAACACCCAAGAGTACACTCGTACTAAAAGATATTTCAAACACGAAGTCCAACGACAAGCAAATACCGAAAGGAAAATATTAGCTTAGCGCACCGCCAATTAATATTTTACAACGTATTTGTTTGTCTAACGAACAAAAATGTTAATTGTGTACCATTTCAAAATAACAAAACTGCTAAAACAATGATTTGTCGAGGAAAAAAAACCTTTCTCAAGTCTATGTTTTTTTTTTCACACCACCAACTACACTAACGCAAATATCGTCTTAAAATCCCGCCTGCTAGGTTAGTACAATGTATCATCCCGAATGCAATTTACAAAATCGCAACACCTACCTTGAAATAGACTTCGACACCGTAAATAAGAAAGAAAACCACCACGATGAACATCAACACGGCATAACAACCGTTGAACAAGTGATGATAGAAACCGGGATCGTCCGAAGGCGGTTCGGTGAATTGAGTCGTTACGAATTCGGCCAACAAGAGACTGTAACTGATGATGTTGAACGTGACGAAGGCCAGGAATGATTTGGAAAGAAACTGCGGACGGTCCCAACGAATACCCGGTATGTGAAACACCTGCAAAGATAATAAAATCACGGTAAATGCCAATGGTAATAAACCATAATCAAGAAGTTAAGTAGTAAAACCTAAAACGTTGAAATATCTGAGCCTTGATAAATCAAACAATGAAGCAATTAAAACATTTTAGGCTTTATTTATTGATGCGATATGCTAATGTGGGCGTTATTTTAATGTAATGGCTATTTTATTGATAATGATAATTCTAAAGTGGTACTTACCTCTGCCCAAAAGCAAACTATAAGCGATGCGCTGGACATGAGTAGAGGATAATACGAGGATAACAGACTGTTAGACCAACCATACTCGAATAATTCCTAAAACAATCAATACAATTATTTCATTATTTAGTCTTTAATTATAATTTAAAACTTAATAACTTATGTAGGATTCGTTTATAATGTTTATACACATCTAAATTCAAAATATTGGGTCTTTTAACTTCAAAACTAAAAAAAAAAAAATTAAAGGAGCATTATGTATTAATGAAAGAAATTTTACAAATTCTCAAATCAATATTGTTTCCTAGTATTCAATCAAAACAATCACAGTCGAAGGTAATATTTTTTTAGATAACGGAGACATTTTAAAATTTCAACAACAGTAATTTCATATCACGAAAAAATCAATGCTCTTAAGTTGTTTTTAAATATCCAGAAAGATAAGAAATTCAACATAGAGTATTTAAATACTTTAAACTCCCATTATTGTTCTACCTACAACGATCTTTTAATCTACAGAAAACAATTTACCAAAATATAATCACCCAAATTTGATTAACTCGAAATATCAACAATTTTGATATCAAGGACTCAAATTAATTTTAAATAGACTCCACTATTTTGGGTTATCATGCATACACGTGCTGCTTACCGGAAATATAAAATAAGCTCCTCTAATCAAACTAGCAAGAAACGTCACGAAATAGATCAGCTTTTGGGTGGTGATTTTGCAAGCTTTCAGCAGAGTAGGAGCCTTGAGTCTACTGTATTCGGATACAATGCACGTAATTAACTGGATAGCGCAAACCAGACTGATTAAGAAAAACACCCCTCCGATACCGGTGTGATAGGGCAAGTTCGGACCATCACAAACATCACCGGTGAAACGAATATCGCACATGCACGTGCCATTGTAGCATTCTCCTCTACCCGAACAATCTCTTGTACAGCTGGAGCTTAGTCCTGACATAATTAGCAGATGTCGAATCATTATTAGATACAGACCTACAAAGAGTTTGGCAATATTACAACACGATTATTGTTAAATTGATTTGTCCACCTTACCAACAGTATGTCTGTAACAGTATCCCACAATTGCTAATCGTTGTTACACTTTTTAAAGACAAAAACTGGAAAGACTCATGATAAACAAAGGATTATTTGTATAATAAATTACTCCATTTTATTATTGATCACATAAGCCATTGACACTAATGACATTGACAGTGCTTTACGTCAATGCCAGTTTTCTGTCATTTGTCACTAAATTAACGAAATTCAACTGGGCGAATAGCCCTAGCAGCATCGGCCTCAAAAAGAGAAGACCAATAATCGATAAATCGAATTATATATTTTTTATTTGTTATAATTAAAACATCATTTTAAGCCATTTATTGTTAATAACTTTACGTTTGTTGTATTCATCCTTTATGTAACTCGTTTTAGTTTCTATGAAATTTGAAATTTTATATTATGTCAAAATTTAATCGATTATGAGAAACGTCATCGTATTTTAAATCGACCTTGACAGTTGACTTATTTTTTTAAAAACCTAACCTATAAAAACAAATAATACAATTTTGAACAAAAATGAACAAATTAGACTTTTCTAATCTGTGCAGAATATGTTTAACAAGGACCAATCACATGGTTCACTTAACATCGTCCTTTAACGAAATATTTGTCGAAATTCAAAAATGCCTGAGCATTGCAGATGTGATTAATATTGTACTTCATTTTACAGTAAGTTCTAGCAGTTCGATCCCATACAATTCACTACAATTAAATTCGTTTCAGCCGAAGCTGTCCGGACAACATCCTCAGTTCATATGCCTCATGTGCCTAGATGCCCTGAAAACGGCTTACGATTTTTGGACTATATGCAATGAATCTCGACAAATTATTCAACAATGTTTGGGGGAACCGGAGGAAGAAACAATACCGATTAATTCCAACGAATCGAACGCATCTGTAGAACTGATAGCGGGTCCCAATAAGTACAATATAAACGACTTGTTGATTGTAGAAGATGAAAAAGACAAGGCCGATGAATTATTTTTCAAAGGATTTTTAAACAATCTTGGCAAAAGTGTCACCGTCACATTCGTAGATAAGGATAATAGTAAAAAGGCTAATGTTAAACAAAATGATGTACCTTCAGTGGAAGTTGAGGAATTATCATTCGATAACAAAAAGGAACATAGTGTACATTCGAGAACTAGACAAAGGTAGCATATTTAATTCTTATATTGGATTATACAGGAAGTTTCTGAAATAAGTGGTGAAACTTTGGGAACAAGTAGAGAACCTCAAAATATGACAAAAACTTAAACGTAATTGTATCGAATTGACTATTGGTATATTATAGGGTGTTAAAGATGGATTCTTGAAGAGGTATTTTTATTAATAATTTCATTAAAGGTAAAGGTAAATTGATGAAATTTGGTACACATACTAAGCAAATGAAATGCCTTATGGTACTATCCAATCGGGTAAAAAAAGTTGTCCAGGGGTGGGTTAAAATGAGGGGGGTAATACTAACCTAACTTTTTTATTTTAACCTTTTCTATTGATTTGTTTAAAGAATGTGAAAAAATGAAGTTTTTTACATAAAAAAGGTATATTTGTTGATTTTCCGTAAAGTGACCGTTTTCACGAAAAAATGGCTCTTAAAATTCTGATACACAAAATTTTGAAACTACTGTCATCTTTAAAAATCTAGTAGGAATGAATTCTTTCAAAAACTTGATATTTCGATGAAATGACATTTTATGTTTTTGTCATATTTTAAGGTTCTCTACATGCTCCCAAAGTTTAAACTACTTTATTTCAGAAACATCCTGTATAACAAAAATTTATTTTAGATCAAATACATTGGATGAATACATTTTAGTAGAAGGGAAGGAACTTCACAGTAAAATCGACGAAGAGATAATGTTACCAAACAATACCATCAACGTATTGGACAACATCGATAAAGAATTGTTAGAATCGGCCTTGAATTTAAAATACGAATGCACCGTTTGCAAAAAAATATTCGCCCGCGAAGTAAGATACAAGAAACACATCGAACAATGCGGATCAAAAACCAAAATCTCGAACACCAACGACCGATTCACTCCGCAATCGCATTGCCGCTACTGCCCCAAGTCGTTTAATCAACAGAAATACCTCAATCATCACGTAAACATAACCCACAGGATCCCCTTTTACACCTGCGAAATATGCAAAACGAAACTGAAAAACAAACGGGCCTACAGCTACCACAAAATGACGAAGCACACCGACGTCCAGCACGTTTGCCAATACTGCGGCAAAACTTTAGTAACTGCATGGGCTTTGAAGCTCCACATCGAGATCCACACGAGCCGGGACACGCCGCAATGCGTTTGCCCCGTGTGCGGCAAAACGTTCCACTACAAAGGCGGCCTCTTCTATCACATGAAGCAGCACACCGACGAGCGGAAGTACAAATGCGACTTTTGCGACAGGAGCTTCTACACGTTGTTCGCGAAGAAACGGCACGTTCGAACTCACACCGGCGTCCGCCCGTACGCCTGCCAGTTCTGCGACAAGCGGTTCTTTTCGTTGGGCGAGAAGAAGCGCCACGAATGGATCCACACCGGGACGTTGCCCTATCGGTGCAAGTACTGCAACAAAGGGTTCACGTCGAACTACAACATGAAGGTGCATTGTTTCAATCATGCCGGGGACTTTGCTTGCGAGTATTGCAACAAGTCGTTTATAGACGACGGGGTTTTGCAGTTCCATTATAAAATCAAGCACAAGGATTTGTCGTTGTCGGGTGGTGAGGATGGTTATTAGGAATCGGGTGAGTAATTTGTAATAAATTTTTATTTATATCAAAAAACTGCTTAATAAATAAATAAATACTACGTTTATTGGTGACTCTATGAATAAATGCAAACTGTTACTGATAAAGTTTTAAGAATTTTTAGAGAAAATGGTAATTTTTTTGTTTGAACCCTTCTACTGAGCTTATAAAGAATCGATGCGTTCTGAACAGTTTTGACAACACTGTTGCCGAGTATTTATCGTTTTATTTGATTAAGGGAAAATTATATTCGAAAAATTTATTCTATTAAAAGTACAAATGAAAATGAAACTGATGAACCTAATTACATAAAATACAGTGCTTTTCAAAGAAACCGTACATTAGAAGTTATAGGAGATCCTGAAGAGTTAGAAATCTGAAAATTTAGGAGTAAAGGATGCCTAAAAATACAGGGTGATCCTATTGAAATAACAAAGTTATGGCCACTTTAAGTTAGCCAAATTTGTCAGGTAATTTTAAACGACCTGTAAATAGACCATGAAAACTTAGTTTAGTTTCATTTAGTACTATGTCTGGACATTATCGTTACCAAATTTCAAAACTTCTAGGTGCATTATTACCAGAGATATCATATACAATGGATTCGACTGTTTTTCCAAAAAATTTGAAAAAAATTAAGTCAAAGTCTAGTTAAAAAGAGTAACAGAATCCAAAAATGAAATCAAAAATGGTACTTTCCATTTAAAATAACGAAGTTGACATCTACTTCCGGTATAACCGGAAGTCACATATGGTTGAAAATATTTTAGAAAAACTCACAACATTGATTATCTTCCAAAAATTTCAGATTTCTAACTCTTCAGGATCTTCTATAACTTCTAATAAACGATTTCCTTGAAAACCCCTGTATGTTGATTAACAAGTGAAATTTTGAATAAAATAATTATTGTAATTTCATAAATTGAAGTTTGTTTGATTTTTCAATTTTTTGCTCATTGTATAATGCTATAATGTAAATTATCGACGTAAATGCTATTTAAATAATCAATATTAATTACAAAGTAACCTAGCACGAAGCAAATATCATCAAAGTTAAAATATAATAAAAAATAAACCAAATTAACACAATAACATAAAGAAGAATGACTGAAGAAACATTAAACATTTGGCAACAGCGTTGTACAAATGGTTCAAAATGGCATGATTTTTTTATAATGCTTTATCCTATAGAACTGCTCCTTTATTTATTGGATTTTTATAATTGTATTTCCAGAATATTACAACGATTAGTATAAATATCTGAAGCGAATAGTTGATTATTCGTCATCTCTAAATTTTTTTCTTCGACTTTATTTTGTAGCTAACATTTCAATCCATTTTAAAATCGGTTCGAGGTAAGGAATAAAACACAAGTAATTCTATTAATTTACTGTTTACTGCACAAAATATATCATCGAACATGTCATTGCGTACAACACTCGATTTTACAGTACACGTCATGTTGCAGGTCAACTGTGATAAATCTCCGAAACGTTCAACAGTAATCATCGAATAAAAAAAAATTACATTATAATAGCGTAGAATAAATTTCTGTACAACAGTAAATTAACTAATATACATATAGGTATCGTAAATACAAGGGATATATTTTTAATATTTTAATTAAATAAATTTCTTCATCGTAGACGGATTAAAAATAGAGAAACAAAAAATTATTATCGTGTATCTAGTAGGTAATTTTTTTTTCAATAAATAATCGACATAAAAATACACCCTGTATAAATTAACTGATGACTGTTGAAGGTCTCTAAGAGCCAAGATGGCAACTTTTCACAAAAATCACCACCCGTCTATGTATAATACTGCCAATCAGCATTCTCTGTATAAAATTAACACATATTTAATAAAATCTTGATATACAGACCTAATATTTAATATATAAAAAAAGTAAATTAGTAAAATTTGTACATATTGCACTTTTTTTCTCAATTAATCTATACGTAATAAATACGGGCTGAACCAACAATGTACCTTTACTCACTTAAACCTAATTATAGATATCAAAGCCAGGTACAATTTTGATTCACTCGGTATATTCACTCTTAGTAGGAATGATCTCTAATGCAAAAGCAGGGGATTTACCGGCATTAGAACTGTTTTTTTGTATTACTTTAACGAATCGCAAATGAATCGGTTTACTTACCCCGCTTGAGCACAAGAGGGTGAAATAACAAAACAAAAAAAACTTAGTGTTGGGCGCAGGTTTAAGTGAAAATTCCCGCCTAAGGACTGGTTAGAATATTAAAAAGCTTTCAAAATGCAATGTTTTTCACGATTTTAAAGAAAATTCCCTCATAGAGGTTTTTCAGAATGCTGAAATTGTATCTAAAATTGATCGCAGAATTCAAAAATGTACAGTGTTCAAATCAACAAATATAAACATCAGTATACTAGTAAATTAGTCTGAAAATGACTATGTAGAAATTTTCTCATTTTTTAACTATGTAATTTCCGATGAAAATTCTCTTCTTAATACAATCTATAACTTATCACCGTGAAAAACACCGTATAATGGATAATTTTTTAAATTTTCGCACGCTTTTCAACATTTCTTTGGATGACTAAAAAAGGAAAATCGGGAATTTTCCGGCCACCTGCGCTTGCTTTCTTCAACAAAGTGACTAAATCAATACCACAATATATACATTATCATACACATGTCTTTAAAAAGAGATCGTTACACTAATTTAAATTAGCTTTACTTTTAGATAATTTCAATTTACTCCCTTCTCTTTTCTAAATAATTAATTTAATTTTAATTAATTTAATTTAAAGAAACTACGCACCGAATGGGGCTTTTTTAAAGCGCGAATTTCCAACGAAAAATCCACTTTCCATAACGATAAAATTCATCTAAATCAATTCGAAACGAGATTCAATTCATTACTTATACCAAGAAATCTCCCCCCTGCTGTTTCCCCATTGCATTGAAACACCCTGTAAAATATACCAAAATACATCCAACTATAGAATTATCTAATAAAAAAGGTATAGCAGAGAAAAAAAGCTCTGTTAAAATCTCATTCACCGCCAAAAATTTTGATAGCATGTACTGCAAATTAACATGTAGCCAATTAAAAATTTAGGATATTTTGTTTGACAAATTTCCTTAATCGATCATTTTATTATGTAACGATATCTTTGTAATATAAAGATTTCAACGGAAATCGAAATATTAACGTAACAATAGAAAAAAAAAACTTGGGGGGAATTACAGCCGTTAGTGGTGTACCCGGAAAAATATACAATAATATGTACAAAACAGCGATTTTTCAAACCCCTGTCGGCCCGAGTTAAATCAATTTAATGCGCCCCTGCGGACTGATTTGCGATTTACAAACGAAAATTAAAACGTACAAAAATTTCCTCATCAACCTTTACCCCACATCATCTTTACTCGACTGTTTTGTAATCCTTACTTTCAGCTTATCGAGAACGTAAAAAACAGGTCAGAACACGTATATAGTTAACAGTACAGGATGTCCCAAATCCGAGGAGATACATTTGGCACCTCGAGAATGGCAAAAGATACTACTAAGCGGGCTAAATCGAGGCAAGAATTAAAGGAATACTAAATTATATTTTCTCAGAAAATATATGTTATAAGAAAGTCTCAGTCTTCAGAAAGCGAATCCCAAAAAAAATCCTCCACTTTCAGTCCACTTCCAGTCCACTTTCACTCCACCTTTAACTTATCAACTGGACTGTTTATTTCAAATATATTTAGCAATTATGCCTCAATTTAACCTTTGTCTCTTACCGTTCGCGAGTTCCCAACTGTATACGCCTCGAATTTGGGTCGCCCGTACAGTACTCATTTAAAATTATTAATATTATTATTATTATTCCATTTGTTATCATTAAACCGATCCAAGCAGCCTTCGCTTATTCTACGAGACGACATTTAATTTTACGAAAGAACTACGATTAGCGCGATGGCAGTCCAAACAATTTGGCAGTGTCAAATAGACAGGGCGAGTTCGCGAATAAATCCCGTATTTAATTATTGCTGATTTCCGTTCGATTAGTCTTTGATAATCAAGCTACCTGTTATTCGGCGCGGTTTCCACTGCGCAGCGCGTGACAGTTGACAGTTAAGGTCACCAAAAAGATTGGCAGTAAAAAGATTGGAGTACTGAAAAACACTACGAGTTGTTGACAGTTAAATGACCAAAGTATTATTGGCTCGTTTAACTAAATGTTTGAAATTTACAAGGGTTTAAATTGTTTTTTATCAATCGAATGAATTATAGAGTGCGCAATGGAAATCTGAACGCTACAGGTCCATTTCGAGTTTCGTTAAAAAATCTGTTGTGTATTCGAAACTCGCGGAACTCGTCCTGTCGTCGATATTTTAAAAATTTGTGCCGGATTTGTCATAATATTTAAAATACAAAGACTTTTTCTAAGACAGCACGTTTCACGTATATATAAAAAAGTCTTCGGTAAATTGGTGTTCAGACTGCATGGATCTTTTCGGGGTCCATTAGAGGCGGTAATGTTCGTTTAAATTATGTTAAACCTCAAATCGGATGATTTATTATTGCGAATAGGGTGTAGTAAGAGCGAATTTCATCGTCGTTTCGCGGGGAATTATCGCCTCCAATCGACCCCACGTACAACATCAATTGAAACACTAGGTATCATGATGTAAGATGATGATTAAATGAGTGGTGTGAGACAGAGTCACTGCCGGCAGTGGATACGAACTGACGAGCATGTATCGTTTATCGACAATTTCGATTTGTACTATTAATTTTTTTTGTTTCAATCAGAAATGGTTCAAACGGCGTTTTTTCGGAAAATAATGGACCAAATGGCGTTTTTTTTTAAGAAAAATATAACGTCGTTTGGTTCATAAGGGTGATTTTTGTCGATAAACGACGCCTGGTCGAAACTATAGGAGTCAACCGACTGTTGCAACATTTTTTTTCTTCAAGTCTTTTGTACCATAATCATTTGTACATCTTACTGGTTAAAGTTAATACGGATGAAAAATCTCTCTTATCTATATAATAATTCAATCTCTTCTCGACGATAAATAATATATTTTCTAAAACAATTTAACCAACAATCTTTCTACACTTGGAAAGGCCATCCGAATATTTAAAATCACATCGTAATCTAGACTCTTTTTTTTTTGTGTATTATTTAAAATTACTGGCAACTTTTCCTACATAGTATATAAATATTGCCCGTATTTTCTACCTGATCAAAATAAGGTATTAGGTTGACTCCTGAGTAAATTAATATGTGCTTTTTGCAAGTCCAAATTTTTAAAATTCACAATTACAAATACATTAAATAATATAGTAAAAAAAACTAATTTAGAAACTGACAACAAAATAAATATAAACTCGTAAAAATAAATATAAAAAAATGTTAAAAAAAAACGTAAAATTAAATTAATCCAACGAAACGGTACAACAAACGAACGGTAAAAAGGTGACTTTTTTAAAGTTAACTTTGGACTTTTAAGGCAATAGATGGCGATGAATTAACGCGTGTCTAAATAAAATCACTTCTGTCTCGTTTTCGTTATGAAAATATGTTTATCTACAATCGATGAAAAATATGTTTATATGTACGTTATTAATGTAATGCTTTTAGTAAGAGGCCAACAAAAAACCTGCGCATAATTATATCAAATTTAGATAATTACTTAAAATATACGAATCTGTTCAAGCTCAAAAAACTTTTATCGAATAAAAAAACTGTTATACTGGTTGATTTAATTATATCCAGTGCATGATTCGTGTAGTATCAGATGGAATTGCATGCGAAATATATGGATAATATTGAAGTAAAATTCTATCCAATCCAATTAAAAAATAGTAAACACCGGGATAATTAAATACATATTTGCAGTGATTTTATTGCATTTTGCACTTCGACAATAAACTTTTGATAGCTTTTCTAAATTTATGAGTTTTTGTGTACCAGCAAATTTTTGAAACCAATGAATGCAAACATCATTTACACTGGTATGTAATTATAGGCAACCTCTGGATATAGTTAAATTAACCTGTCACATTTTTCATGGATGTTTCCTTTGAAAATTATTAATAAACTAAATTATAATACTCGCAAAGTGCACAATAATAGTAATATACTATAAATAAATTATAATCCTTTTAAATTTTGAACAAATCTGACATCCAAAACGTCAGTATACGTTTATCACATGGGATAAATAATTCTCTACGAGCAAAACAATTTAATTGTTTATGAATTAGAGTACACATTGTTTGTGTCATTAAATAAAAATAAAAATGTTATAATTTTTGGAAAATTGCAAATTTTTTTGTACGATTTTGGTTAAAAATTAAGTGGGTTTTTTGTTAGCCTCCTATTTTCCTATCTAGCTGCAGAAAATTCTAAATGGCGGAAACTATATCGTATAAAAAATGAGTAGACTATGAACTACACATCCATTTTTAAACATCAATAGTTTATTTTTCTCAAGGCAGGATAGTCTATTAAAAAGAAGTTAATTTTCCATATAATATTTTATATTCAATGCGCAATGCCTCATCATTTCTGAAGAATGGCACACGTCGAAAAAAAAATAGCACAGTTCAATATCGGTACGTCTGAAATCACTTCACTTTTCTCATCCATTTTTTATTTGTTTTCGTTTTTTTGTTTTTGTTTTCCTACAGGACGGCCGGTCGATTTTAATCCCATCTAAGCATTTCAAATTTTCGAAGTAATTCCGCCCCCATTGCCGAAATATACGGTGCTTTTAAGATCCAAGAATTAACTACATTGCACATGCGCGATCGGACGTTTCTCTTCATCCACAACAATCCGTTTTTTTGCACCAGCCCTCAGACTTTATGGATCCGCGTTAAATCGGAAAGGCACCTTGAATGTGTTTTATTTTTTTTTTAATATTTTTTGTCAGTCCTGTCCAGTCTTACCAATTTAAGTAAGCATATCGCCAAGAAAGTTTTCTCGTATAAAAGTTCCATAGAGGCTTAAAAAAATCTACGTATAGTTTGATTTTTCAATTACAAGTCGAGCTACGAAACGGTTTAGTCGTCGGGTTTCGCGTTTCTTCCATATAGGTGCCGTCGGGTTAGTATTTTAGTAAATTAAAAAAAAGAAAAAAGAAAAAAAGAATAATATATATGTTTTCACAGCCAACTCGGTGGTACTTCGTCTTCCTGTCCTCGTTTTGCGATCGACTATGTACAAAAGATAATCGAAACGAACAGTTTCGACTGTCGAGCACCACCCTTTTCGAAAGGGTCGATATACGCAGATCGAGGGACTATGTCTTGAGGTCCACGTCCCAGATTTCGGCCAGGAACGGTGGTAACTTTTTGTTTTTCAATTTCAAGCTGAAGCACATTTTCGAATTCTGATTACCCAATGTCCTAAGCTCCGTCAACACCGACAGCAATTTTGCAAACACCGTGCCCGGCTTGACTTTGCGACGGTTGTCGACGTACGCGCGCAACGCCTCCAAGTAGATCTCTTGGATTTTCTCCACTTTCCAGCCCTCGATCAGGTCCGGTCGCTCTGAAAAACAACAACCATATATAAATGTTCTATTCTACAGTTCAGTTTCAAATCGATATAGAGTTGACTCATCAGTCAATGTTATGAAAAATGGTGCAGGAGTCATGTCAAATTCAAATATCAGCGGCGAGCATAGACCTATTAACTATGGACGCGGTTTAGACAAAGAGGTAGTGTTGTCGATGAATGAGAGAGATGCAGCTAGTTTGGGCATATGGCAATGAGAGATTGGACAATGCATTAGCCAATAGTAAGAATGCAAAAGACCACGTGAGTTACGTTTTAAGATATGCAAGGTAACTGGGGTAGAGGAGGGTAGCTTATGGTAGAATATGGTTGAGGATTTATTATTTTTTTACCGAGCAAAATTCATTTTTCAGCTGAGCCTAAATTCCCACGCATTTGCAAATACAGTTCTTATTTTGTATTGTTATTTGGAACCTCCTACCTATTAGCCAGTACAGATTTCGCAATTTAAGACCTAGCTGCTTTCTCTTGTAAAAAATATGTTTCTTCCAGGTCATTCTTCTGTCCAAGTGGATACCAAGATAAAAACAATATTTAAATATTAAGCGTATAAATAATTTAACCGAATTAATAACCTTTTTTCACGCACCCTGTATATATTTTATATATTTTTTGGTCCCGCCTACTTTTAGCCCAAACTAGCTCCATCTCTCACGGACCTCTCTCTCTATCATTGGGAACGCTGAATAACCTCAAAATAACGATAGTGTCGCGTCCATACTTAATAGGTCTATGGCGGCGAGGTATGAATATTAAATATACTCATAAATAGAATTAAATTCAAATAAAATGAATTTATTTTTTTTGGATAATATTGAATTGCCCTCTAAAAAGAGCTTATTTTGTTGTTCAATTGGCAATATCAGTGTTTCTATTCTATGAGCAAATCGATGACCCTGTAAAGGGCCATTTAAAAATGTAAGGTCGATTAACATGTGAATTACGAGTAGTCGAGATTCTCATCTAGCGAATCAAATTTTTCAAAAAAAACTTAACTCAAAAAGTATGCATTTTTGAAAAAATCTGAAATCTAAAAGTACCCTAAAATTTTGCGTAGATTTCGAAAATATATTAATACACAGGGTGTTCCATTTGAAATAACAAACTTGATGCCTACTTCCGGTATATCCGGAAGTGTTACGACCGTCAAAATATTTTTAAGATGTCCGTCTTATTGCATAACATATACATACAAAATATTATTTAAACCGGAAAAGTAGTTTCCGATATACATATACTTTTAATTAGTCGTCGGACACTCTGTATAACTATACGAAGGTATCTTCTCAACGAACATTTATATTAATAAAATTGTATGAGTTCTAAAAAAAAAAAACTTACCGGAAAAAATGACAATGGCAGTGAGCAGGGCGTACTCGGCGTTATCCACCTGCATCGAGTACATCGTCCTGCAGAAATACAAGAGGTCCTCGATCTGCTCGCCCATACCGGCCAGATTATAACTATCCCTAGAGTACGGTTGGTTGTTGACGAACAGGATGGAATCCGTTTGGTAATCGTATCTCCTGGCCATCCTGAACATCATGACTTCACTCGAACACGCCTGCGCAACGAAAACCCGTTAGTAAATCGATGGAATGGGGAAACGGTGAGATGAGCTACTTACCTTCAGCAGGGATATCTGGTCCTCCCGCAGGAGCTTATCGAAACCTGGTAACCTTTTCGCGAACTCCACGATGAGCTGTACGGTTAGTATCGTTATTTCCGTTATATGTCTAAACCGGACGTCGCATTGGTCTTCTCCTTCCAGCGGTGTATTCTACAGCAAACGAATACGATTCGGAATTAGTACAAACGCTAGTGCGAAGTTAGTGTTATACATAATGGTGAGTCCTAATGAGATGCTTACCACAATGCGTTTGACGTCTTCTTCGGAAGGATGTTCGTATTCGTTTTGGAAGTACACTAGTCGATGTATGAGTTCCTCTTGTTCGGGCGATATGGGCTTGATGCCGTTCTGTAAGCTGGTCTTTTCTGAATCCGAGAGCTGGAAGAAAAGCAGCTACATAGTGCGTTAGTGGAAATTTGTTAAATCGGATCACTTCAGTCCCAAATGATTTGAGATAGCACACAAATCGTCATATCATTTGCGAATATCGTGATTCATTAGTCTAAAACTAAATCAATTGAAGTGAAGAGTCGAAATGATTTACCTCTGGTTCCATTTTGATCATGTCCGGTGAACCGTTGGTCGTGCTGTTGGGCTTGTCCTTCTCCTTTTGGGCCTTCTTTTCTTTCCGCTTTACGGCGCATTGTACCTCTGGCACCACGCATTCCGGCCTCATTCCCACGCTCAAGCACTTCTTCAAACGGCACTCCTGGCATTTCCGCCTCATGTACATGTCGATCTCGCAATTGTTGCCATACTTGCACTGGTACACAGCATTCTTCGTGATACTCCTCCTGAAGAAACCTGAAAGTAATGTTAGAATTGCATTGGTTCACTTGGTGCAACCAGGAAACTGTTAGTAGCTATCCACGAAGGTAGTAAGAAAATTGACGAGAGGCTTACCTTTGCAACCTTCGCAGGTGAGGGCGTTATAATGGTACCCCGACGCCCTGTCGCCGCACACCAAGCACAGTTCTTCCTGCTGTCGAGGCGTCGGTCCTTTCTTCTTTTTCGCATCGCAACTGTCGGCGCTGTAACCGTTCAAACTGCTAGGAGGAGACAGGTCTTCTCGCCCTGAAAGTAAAATAATAAATCGCATTTAATATCTACTAAAAGTTTCTTAAGAAGATCGAGATTCTTCAAGTATCAACATATTTAAACGAAAGATCAAAATACTTTAAAAAAAGGATTAAGATACTTCAAGAAAGGATCGAGATAAGTAAGGGAGAGATCATGATAATTATTCTGGGAAGCACTAAGATACTTTAAGGAAGGATCAATATATTTCAAAGAAGAATCAGGATAGTTTAGGAAAGGTTTAAGATACTTGGAGATACTTCAAGATAAAAGGAACAGAATACATAAGGAAAGGATCAGGATACTTTATAGGAAAGCATAAGGATACTGTAGAAAAGAATCAAGAAACTTAGGGGAAGGATGAAAATATCTTACGGGAAAGATCAAGATATTTCAAGGAAGGATCAGGAATCAGAATAAATGGAAGGATCAGAATACTTTACAGTGAAAGATGAAAATACTTTAGGAAAGAATCAAGATATTCCAAGAAAAGGTTAGAATAGTTTAGTTAGAGAAATAAATATTATCAAAGTGATGGATAATTTATCCCTATGATACTTTAAGGAAGGATCAAGATATTTCAAGAAAGGATCAAGATAAAGGAAAGGATCAGAATACTTATGGAAAGGATCTGTATACTTTATACAATACTATAGGGAAAGATTAAAATACTTTAGAATCAAAATACTTTAGGGAAGGATAAATAAGATATTTCAAAATTGGGATATTTTAGAGTAAATGATGGAAGTGATCAGAATACTTTAGAAAAGGATCAAGATATTTCAATAAAGGATCAGAATACTTAAAGACCAGGATAGTTTATAGAAAAGGATCAAGATACTATGGGGAAAGATGAAAATACTTGATGAGAGAATCAAGATATTTCAACGAAAAATTAGGATACTTTAGAGAAATAAATTATTAAAGTGATGGATAATTTGTCCGCGTAGATAAGCAATGTAACCACATGCAATCACAATACTTCGTCTAGGCGCATTTTCGAGCCTTTTGTTTTCTTTTGTTGGTACGGAGAAGTGGAATTTACAAAGTCGAGTGAAGATGAAGAAGAAGAAGAAAGACACGCGGACCGGTTCTTCACGAACGTAAACCAGTTGAAAAACATACTTTTAATGTTGGTTTCTCCAAAGCATATACCTACTTACGTACGGTTTTAAGTCGCATAGCGCTGCTATTTATAGCGTAAGTCGCGTCCCGGTGGTCGAGACGACCATTGTTAATCGAAGAAAAGAATTTTACTATGCCGTAGATGTTTTGATATATTAGACCGTAAATCTTTTTTAAAGGCGACGCGTCGACATGTTATCGCTACATAAATGTTTCATGTTAATAGTTGATGTTTCATTTAATATTCGCGAAATTCCACAAAACTCCAATCGAACTAAACTATTTATTTAACGACGTTAAATCGTCATTCTAGTGTCGTTTTTCTTATACAATCCATTTATCCGATAACTAGATGTACGAGTATAGTATTTAATCGGCTATTTATGTATTGATAGGTCAGTATTATTACTGGATATAATATGCAATAAAAATTTCAATATCTTACACGATTAACACGAATAATTTCGAAGAATCGAAGAAAATACCCGTCATAAACCTTCTAAATATTCCCCCAAATTTCCATCTCCTTTATTAACTCACTTATGTCCGGTTTCACCAACGACAAATAAATCCATAAATAGTTATTCGATGAATAACTTTTAAACTCCAGTTAAATATTTTGCCGTTTCACCAACACTTTTAATCTTTAGGTCCAGTTTAAACAACTATTTCTGGTAAATCAAACTTTAGAATTCAAATGTTTATTCCAAAAAAAGAAGATTTCGAACTGAATTGTTCAGGTTATTTTTTGGTTTTGTCAGTGTGACGTGTGAATATTGTTATTTTATTATATTTGCAGTTTGAGTTTGCGAGTGATTTTGAAATGGATCGAAAAAGGGAAAGAAGCAAAAATTACTTGGAAGAGGAGAAGGAAAATTTAATAACGATAGTTCTTTCTAAAACAATTCGAGGTCGTCTATAATGAAAATCTTCATCAGATGATGTTGAAGATGATGATGAAGATGATGCTAAAAATCTAATAAAGGATAAATTTTGAAATAACTTAAAAAGTACATAATATTTGTATTATCTTTTACCTGTTACCCATTATTCTCAAACAAACTAAAAATAAAAATTCGCAATCATAAAAAGACCTATTAAATATTACTAATATTATTTGAGGTTAGAAAACATCAAATAAAACTTTAACTTTCCAAATTTCGTTGGTTAATTTAAACGCCAATTTAATCGTCGAATAACGCCATTTGTTGTTGGTGAAACAAAATTGTATACTTTTATAGAACAGTTAAATTTATTCATCGAATATGGTCTTATTTGTCGTTGGTAAAACCGGACATTTGAGTAACGAATAAATTCCCCATTTCGGCATCCACTGTAGGTATATTTATAAAACATCGAAACACCGCCGATGCGAATATTTATCATTTTACAATGGCAATCCATCTTTGTAACGAGCTCAAATGTCTTCTAATATCGTCAGTACGTACGTCTTAATGCTCTCCCTGACATTTCCATTGCTATAATACACGCACTGTTCTAGGCCGTAGATCATTCGATACGACTGAATGACCTCATGACTAGCGAGATGTTGTAAACTTTGTAGTTCAAGAGCGGGTTTTGAACATTTGCGGTCAATGATTAAAGAGTTTGGAGTCGTAAAATGTTGTTGTTAAATTAAAACGTGAATAAAATGAAATTAGGATGGACCAGGTTAAAATATAGTGACAGAGTGACAAAAGTAAAAGAACACCAAAAAATTGTTGTTGAAATTTAACCATTTATTCTAGTTACATGTATAAGAGAAAAATAAACAAATGATTAAAATTAATTCATCAAATTAACAACGAAACTTAAAAAAAATTGAAAATGTGTTGCACCACCGTGGTGCTGTACACACTCTCTACAGTTTGAATGAAAAATAAAATTTGCTTCTTGGTGTTCTTTTACTTTTGTCACTCAGTATATTTAAATAATGGCGGTGGTGTGGAGGTGCCTCCACCATTATAGTTATAAACAGAAAAAGCAAAGAAACTGGCGATATTTTGTAAAAACTATTGAACTTTGCCGTGTTTACATCGAGTATAGCAAGCACGTGCATATGGAAAATCGTTAGTTTCGACGGAAGAAATAGCAAAAACACCTTTGTAAAAATATCCCCGGCTCAAGGTTTCCTCATTGTATCGTATTCGTTACTTAATCGGCATAAATTATGTAAGACTTGCCGGGCAAAAGTGCAATTATAATTAAAAATTGAAGAATGATACGTACAGAATGTATTATATGAAAAACGTTACCAAGAAAAATGAATATGCAAACTGTGATTTTGTTAATTTCGTTTTCTTCGAGCCGAGTCTAGCAAAACCGTTTTAACATTCTTGTCAACTTATTAGGTAAATAAAACGAGCGTTCGATGTCCATCCTTTCGGTTTCAGATGAAACGAGTACGATGGACGAACCGCGTATCTAGCGGGACGAAATTCAACAGGTTTTTTATTTAATTTCCAAACCTAATTCCACCTAAATCCACCCCTTATAACTACGCTCACGATCGTTCTTCTCACGTTTGTTCGACGTACCGTGAAGACCCGGACTCGTTCTGTCCTGTCAATGTCACCGTAATCACCTTTTGTAATTTCGTTAAGTATTCTTAGAACGTTTTTTATCGTTATCAAATCTCGAACTCTCATTAAACGATGTAATTTTGGACAGTCATCATTTCTAATACACGATATTGGTTAGAATTACTTTTTCTAGTGTTACGAGTCATCAGCGATACCTAGGTACGTGAGGCTCGCGCACCTCGCGGTTTCTTTTGATACTTCTCAGTCTGTACCTAAATATTATACGAAATATATTTTTTTCAGAAATTTCGAGAGCAGAGTATAAAATAATCGAGTCACGGAAACATTTCTTACGAAACAATTACAGCGGAACCTTGAGGTTTACCATAATAATAAATACAATTACGCCCATATTTCAGCGTTTTTTTTTTGTTATTTCACTCTTCACGTTCTTCGCTAGATCTCCCATCTTTCGAGTCGATTTAGAATTCCACGCTTCGGCCATGAAACAACGCCATTCTTTACATTGCTCGTTAATAAACGCTTATTGATGGTTTCGACGTTACATAACAATAAATAATTGATTTTTACTTTGTTGTACAGAGCGTTTACGTGTGACGTTTTCGTCAAACCCACGGCCATAGATGAATAGCCAAGGCCGTCGATTCGAATTGATATAATTTACTGGCGAATTCGCAATTGTTACGTTGTATCAGGTTCAAAATACTCGAAGCGAAAAATTAGTGGGTAATTTCCTGACTGTCATAAATTAAAATTTCAATAATATATCTACATATGCAGAGAATATCAATCATAATATGACAGATAATCTGATACCAAAGAAATGCGCACTTTTTAAAGGAAATATTTGATGTCAGCTAGTCAACAGAGGATACAGAGATTTTAAATAAGACCATTTTTACGTTAAAATCCCCAGTTCAAATTAAATGATTCTTAATGTTATTGTTTTTTGGGACATCATGTATGAGCAAATATAAAAGAGCTCTTATAACAGGTGGAATAAAAAGAATCCTTCACCATCTCTAGACATTTGTTTAATATTCTAACGACTATCGAAAACTACACAAGTGTTCTTCATGAATAAATATTAATGATTTCTGAAACGTCTTGACATGCGGAGTTGCGTAACCTATAAAAATGAATGCCGTTCAAATAAACGCGATTTTTTTTTCACAATTAGTCACAGAGGATAATAAAAAATGTTTAATTACAGGCCGGTTTTTCATTAAAGTGTATAGGTAGAGGCGAGTTCTTTGTTCGCTACTGTAAACAAAAACAATAATCGAATTATAATATGAAATTAATGCAAATAATTGTAATTATTTACCG